TCCCATGTTCCACATGTGTTCAGCACAACAGGTCCAAGGATTGTTCATATGGAGAATCTGTCTCCACAGCAGGTCCACCAAACTTTAAAGACGGTTCTGTTGGAGTTTTCAGAACGTTCTTTGCAAATGGTCCCTCATCATCTAGTCCAAGACTGAAGGAGACGTCAAGGTCTGAATTGACATTCTCGAGACTGGAGTTGTCTGGAGGAAGTGACAGTTTAAGTGCTAATGCATCCCTCGAAGGAAGCTCTGACTCTTCCAGAGCTTCAGACCCTGTCCTCATGCGCTCTGGCCAGGCTTCCCAATCAGGGTCCCAAATACCCCAACAGGCTCGCTCCGGAATGCACACCATGTCGGTCGGTTTCGATCTGAGCCTGCCGATGATTTATCAAACTGGTCTGGCTCACGATCCAGTAAGTGATAGGCAGCTGAGTGATAAGTCGCTGGGATCTGAGAACCTTGCCTTGATGAGCGATGTGGAGCGGCTTAAACTGAAGATACGACAGCTCGAGAATAAGCTAGATCTGAGCCTGAGTCTGGACTCTCCTACATTATACCCGAATTCTCACGAGAATTCAGTGGACTTCCAGGCATTCAGAAACAATCTTGCTCGCGGTCCACCCCCAGAGTCCAATTCCTCCAACCCTCTATTCATTGGAGTAAATCCCTACAACAACAACGAGCCAGGTGAGCTCATTGATTTGTACGATAACTACAGCCCTATGCATGTCAAGGATGCATTTCGTCGCCAGAATTTCGGTCCCTTTGCATGGCTCGCATTCATGAAGAAAGACAAGGTGCTCAATCTTTTGTTTGATTATATGAAAACTACCAGGACTTCAGACAAGACTCCAGAATCTTACCTGCGGTCGAAATTATACACGAAACTGAATGACATGGATGCAGATTTCCGCAAGAAGGCACTAGATAGAGAGGGAGATAGCGATGTGGCTCATTTCAGGGAGAACAATAGCAATACCACCGCTAGTGACTTAAAGATGCAAATGAACAAACATGCAATCTCTCTCGGACTCACCATGTTTGAGGGAGAATGGGACCAAAAGGTCCATCTTGTTGAGAAAATCAAGATGCTTCTCCCGACGCGGAAGGCTCTTTGGATCTTGATCAACCGATTCTTTTCCTCCGTCTACCCCTTTATACCTATCATTGATGAAACCTGGTTCAGAAGTGAAATTAAGAGAATGCTTGGTCCTGAGGTCTACGATGACGAACGCATTGAACACATTGCTCTCGAGAAGCAAATCGATCTCGCTACAATTGCAATCTTGTTGATTGTCATCCGTTTTGCTTACTTGTCAGCATTTTCCAACATCAAAGCAGAAAATGAGAAAGTTTTAACTGCCACAGATGACTCCCCATTGGCTGAAATGAAATACATCCTTCATAATCCTATTGCATTAGACGTCATTAATCTTTCCCAAGTTTGCATTGATCAATTTGATCATTTCAAGAGAACGAATATGACCGTTTTGCAGTACATGGCTCTTTTGAGAGTATACTATCAATTTGCTCCCGAGCATGGTGATGGATACGACGGAGGAGTTTCTCATGTCTTGCCATCGATGTGCGTACTGATTGCCTATTGTATGGGATTGAACAGAGAACCTGGTAACTTTGATGACGTCTGTAACGACGCCAAGATGAACAACATCACCAGAAAGCTTTGGTTTTTCATAAAACTTGCAGATTTGACACAAGCATATCAATTCGGCTTCCCCATGCTTATCGACAATAATTTCAACGATGTACGTCTTCCATATTACAGGCCCGGCAACTCTAATGTCCTAGATGCAAACCTTGAGAGAGACTTGTGTGACACCCTTGCTGGAATGGGGCCTTTCCTTGACAAACTTAAAACATTTTTGTCTAGGATATGCTCAATTAGAAACTGTATGAAGATGAGCGATGCTACTGCTCTAATATCCGACTTTGAGCATAGTATCCTGCAAGCCCTAGGGTCATTGACTGATTACTCGAAGACACCACTTGCAAAGAACGAATTTACATTTGCTAAGAGTATGAAGTGCAAGACCTATTTGAACCTCAAAAACCTTTTACTATCATTATACTTCCACTTTTTCCTCAACTACGAACGGAATGGAAACCACAACTTAGCATTCTTCTACATGAAGAAATACCTTGCAATCGCTTGTGGTGAGATTCTTCCTGAGATTCTTGATCTTATTAAAGATAAATCGAAGACGTTCGATCCGAATAGCACATTACCTGATCTATTCTTGACACCTTCGATTGAATTGTTCCTTCACAAGACAAATCAGCTCAATATCTCCATTTTCTTGAGAATGAGCAGCGCTGTCGCCTACTTGAAGTCGGACCCAGTTCTTCACAACAGAAATATCATGAACTCCTTCGAGTATAAAATGAGATTTGCCAAACTCTGCAAGCTTCTCAAGATTCTCGAGAAGTTTATCAAGTTTGGTACAGCTTGTCTCTCCAAACTCAGTCATAGATATTACTATGCATGGAGAGTTTGCAAGGCACATACATTCATCATTGATGTTTTCCAATCCGAAGCGGTGGGTGAATATATTCTCAACAACTGCAATTCAGATAGGCTTATGACCGACTTTACAGCCCAGAGACTCGATGAATTATTGAAAATTGCAGACTCCACTCTTTGGAAACTCAAGGATGTCATCAAAGAGGATACAGAGCGTAAACACGAGGATGAAGATGCATTCAATGTGCCCGATATTGACCCCTTGACACTCAATCCTACAGTTACTCAAAATAAACCAGAGGCACCACAAGAACCTTTGGAAGCCTTCTCAACGGATGATGCAATTGACATTGATGACCTCCGTCCAGACCAAAATGTGGATATTGACAACTTATGGCGCCAGATTGGGTCCATGAAGTACGATATCCAGGCCAATGAAGCGACTGCGTTTGACCAGATGAACATTCCTGATAATCAATGGGGCATGCCCTCACCAAACTACGGAGCTTCATTGACACCATTTATGGACAACAGTGGAGAAGTCGACGCCTATCTAGACATGTTTTCGAAACCACAGCCTTAGTGGCACCTTATGGTGGACTCGAGCCGTCTGGGAGCCCTACCGACCTGCACATAGTAAGACTTACCCGGTTCACTGGATGTAGCATTTAAGAGCGCTGAAAAAAAATTCTAATTCCATAATTAAAACTACAAACTACTAAACGTATGTGACATATATCACAGAGAATTTATATGAAGACAAAACGCTGTGCACCAGTCAGAGTACTCAAATCATGATCGACCCAGTATACCCAAATTTCTGATAAATTCTCCATTCTTGAAAACTTTTCACTAACATACAAGATGCCGGTACTTCAGTACGCTCAATCCGAACTTGATGGTGTGGGGTGGTAATTCACCCATTGTGACACTCCGAAGTTCTCTTGTAGTCAGGGTGACATTCAGCGTGGACTTGGAATGATATCCCTTCATTTCACAGGGTCCACCCTCATCGCTTAAAAGGATCCTCAGATCTTGTGATCCTTGAATTCTCATTCCTCTGCAGCCCATCTGTAAAGCATTCTCGATTTCACCCCTCTAGACCAAACCCATTAATGTACCTCTAAGGCACGGGGCCATTAGCTGGATTAGATCTCACCATCTAAGCCATGGCTATACATTCTAGGTCTTAATTACATTGTTCAACAGGGCAAAAATTCCCCTGGAGGATTACTCTGAGCATAGCGTGGAGCCAACTGACGACACAGGCTTCCAGACTCAATCACAAAGGTTGCAAAATGCCAGAGAAGGTTGTATCGATAGGACCGCGTCAAAACCACCATTGCAATCCAACGGCATCTTACGTGCTGGCTGCCCGGATTAAGATAATTAGAAGCGTACACGGTGAACGCGGACGCGAGTAATTAGCCCACCTGCAAAAGTAAACAGCCCCGGCGAACCACGAAAGCGGTAAATGATGCTGTCAAAAGAAGAAGTCGCGACGCCATTTACTCCTTTGAGCATATGGTAGGCGTCGGGTACGCATCGCTGTTATTATGTTTCCAAAGTGAAAAAAACGCCAGGACGTGTAGTCCGCAGGAGAACACGGTTTTTCCAGGCGCATGAGCCAGGAACAAGAGCGAGTAATCTAGGCCAGAATGGGAAGCCTTGCATTGAGGACAAAGGTGAGGGAGCTAAGCGAAACACGGGAGCCACAAAGGCGGATATTTTCTGTGAGAAGCGTTTCGTCTAAATATATCGATTTCATGTGAGAGCTAATTTGGGCTGGCAATGGACGATGTGAGACGAGGAAAAGCCGCGCGGGTGGTTTCAGATTTCGTAGACGGTGGATCCCGACCAGATGGGCAAAAGGACCATTATTGCCGGTGGTAGGCGAGAGAGATACAACGGAGAATGGCGGCAGGGGCTCGGCTCCAGTCCATTGTATGTGCGAGGGACGGGTGCAAAAAAGCCCCAAGAATGGGTGCAAAAAAAAAAAAAAAGAAAAATAAAAAAAGCGTTCGGGCTGGACCGCAGGCACACAGTGCGACAGCGCCTGGGACACCGTTACAGAGTGGAAGGAGCCGAGAATTGGCGTGAACAAGGAAAAAGGATCCAGAGGAGAATTATAGGAGAATTATTTTTGGCGGGGTGGGAGGAGGCTGGTATGATACACGGCGTTTGGCGAGAGGCTCGAGCTGTAGCAATTTGCAAAACATGAAATAAAAAATTGATGGATGTGAAGGCCCTGTTTGGCTGAATCATTGGGTGATTTTAGGGTGCAACAAGCGTCGCCTGAAGCAGAAAATAGGCCCTCTCACGCCAGGAAATATGTGTCGCGAATTCGTGCCGAACAGGAGTGAAACACGAAATGTTCAGGCCAAAACAGTTTGGTGCGTCGCGAAGTTACAGATGCCCGTAGGGGCACATACAGAGCGGCGCTGGCTTGGAATGCCTCAAGATATAAAGATCAAGGCATGTCCCAGCCTATCTGCTCATTATCAATTCTCCTTCAAACATGGTTGCTTCTATTGACGTGAAAGCATTGAACATCTTCGTCAACCAGCCAGTGTCTCAGAACATGATCCACAAGTTGGTCGTCACCACTTTGCAGGTGCTTCCTTGCCTGGATGACAAGGATGGCAAGACGGCCCACAGCGGCAAGCCATTGCCTTCGCTCATGACGTTCATCAACAAGTTGGTCAGATACACCAATGTCTACACCGGCACCTTGATGACCACCTTGGTCTACTTGGACAGATTGAAGCACAAGCTTCCCAAGAACGCCCAGGGCTTGCCTTGCACCAGACACCGCATTTTCTTGAGCTGTCTCATCTTGGCTTCCAAGTTCCACAATGACTGCTCTCCCAAGAACGTCCACTGGGCCAAGTACACCGACGGCCTCTTCTCCTTGAAAGACGTCAACCTCATGGAACGCCAGTTGCTCTACCTCTTGAACTGGAACATGCGCGTCTCAAACGACGAGATGTGCACCCAATTGGCCTCCTTCTTGCAGCCAATCAAGGAGGACTTGGTCAAGCTGTCCAAGATGAGAAAATACTTGGCCAAGCAGCAGGCTGCTGCCGCTGCAAGTGCTTCCACCTCGGCGAGCCCCAGATCTGCTCTGGTGTCTCCTTCGCCATCCATCTCGAGATCTTCCTCCACTACATCTCACTTGTCTTTGCACAACCCCCATGCTACCCACACTCGCCAGAACTCTTCAGTTTCCGTGGCTTCCACCAACTCGGTCATGTCGCACTACAGACAAGATTCTTGCAGCCTGATTGAGCTGCTTAGCCCCAGGGCCTCCATGACTAAGTCAAACAGCTACAATGACAAGCTCTCTCGTGAGGTCGATCCTCGCATTGAGATGGCTGCAAGAAATGAGGAGCAAGAGTTGTCGAGAATGATTTCTCAGATTTACAGGCAGGCGGCCTGATGCAAGAGCAATGCAGGGCATTGTTTCACGGCTTTACGAATTTCACTTCAATTCTACTTTTATAGACGGTTTAATATCATAATGGGTTTAGGTCAAGCATGTAAATGTGGTTTTCGCAGCCATTCACCGGTGAAGCCAGAGACAATCTCCATCAGTGCAGTCGGCACATATATATTCACTCACAAAACGACACCCGTACACCACTGACACCCCAAAGCATTTCGTTATCTGATCCACAGCTGAATGTCTACCCCGACCTTGTGCCTATGCTTTCTCGGATTCCCCAATATAGAATATCGGCAAGGAGCTTCTCGGTGTCCCGGCTACTTTTGATAAACAACGGCGATAATAACAACAATAACAACAATAATAATGGGAATAAGGACCAGCTCCGAAAGCTCGGCTCTATCCTACTGAAGGGCAAAGTTGGCGAGCAATCAGATAAAGAGACCCGCAAGGGCACTGCTCTCAATATACAATCGAAACCCGAGGTTCCTCCCTCCACGGCAGATGAACTGTCCTTGGATTTGGCGGTGAAGGAGAATATAGATGAGCTCGAAGACTCCTACGAAACCATAGCTTTCATGACAAAGGACGATGTCCTGATTCAGGAGAACTTGGACGCTGGCGGCCAATTCGGAGCATTCCCATCCAAGCATTTTCTAGATAGAAAAGCGCTTATTAGAAGCCTACCGGATGAAGTGGACATGCTTGACACTCCTTGGGAGGAGATCGAGCGCATTTACAGCACCCTCAACAGACTAGACGAAGATAAAGCGGTGCATGCCAAATACATGAAACGATTCGGCATTGACGAGAAAGATCTCATGACAAGGCTACGCCTCGGAAAAAATCTTGACGACATGTGCAAGGCTGGTCGCCGAGGCGAGAAGTATGATGTTCCAAAAGGTCTCGAGAGAGTCTTCAAAAGATTGTACCCATACAACGTCGTTGGCTTCGACCGGTCTATCCTAGGTGTACCCCTTAGAAACGGAAGGCACTCTTTGAAGAGTGACGACGAGGAGAAAGCACGCAAGCAGATTCCAGAGGAGCTTGTCAGGGACAGTCGGCCTTTTGACACCAAAGTGCCAGTTCACAAAATAGATGTGAACTTCTTCGAAGAAGACCAACTCAAGGAAAGTATTAGCCCTTATGACCTGAAGCCACTTCCACCGGAGGATTTACTTCGAAGCATTGGCAAACCCATGCTCTTCGATGATATCGACAACTACAAGAAGATCGAACACCCATCGGTAGAGCTTTTGGATCGCATAGAAAGAGAAACCCTCACCCTCAAGGATTCACTCTATCTTGAAATCGCCAGAAAGATGATTCCTTCGAACACTGACGTTGTCAATTTGAACGCACCAAAATTGCGAACAAACGAGTACGTGGTCGCTCTGAAAGATCACCACGCCACTGCATTATCGGGACCATCATTAAGTTATCGTTACAAGTACTTTGACCTTGTCCCTATTTTCGGAATGTTGCTCACTAGCAGAAAGCACTGCAACAATCTCTACAAGCATTTATTCAAAGTCATTCTCATCAATCTCGAGGAGCACATTGATGTTTTGACTCGCATAAAGTACAAGCTGCCAGAAGAGTCACAAGCATTCCTCGGGAAGCTATACGCAAAGATTCATCGTGTTATCTCGGATAAGCTCATGCCTATGGCTGTGGACTGCAGACTCAAGTTCTCACTAGAGTACCAAGCAGTGATGCACAAGCACATCATTTCGCTGAACTTTTCCAGAATTTACTGGCTTAAAGCGCCACAGAAGCCGTCCAGCGGAGGCCGCGATTATGGCCGCCAGGTACGCAGAGAAGCGCACAGAGTGAAGGTCTACCCTCTAGACCTCGCACACCACAAGTACTCCAAGTAGTGCATAGACCACCCGATCAAGGTGTACCTAAATTTTTTCGCTCTTCAACTGTAGACCTTAGCACTTACAATGCAGCCAACCAAGAATAATATGGCCTACAAGAAGGTGGCTCAAAGCTTCCAGCTACCACCTTTGCCACATGCCAAGATCCGGAACCCAGTTACCCAAAAATCAAATCTGAATTGCATGGTTATGATGGCCGGTTTGTTGAACTGTTGGGCAGCCAATGGAGAGGGCTCTCAGGCCTGTGCTGCTTTGGAGCTCGAGTTGAAGACATGTATGGAGCTTTCCGGTAAAGGCAAAGAGAACAAGACCTCCGTCAACTACCACACCAGCAGACTATATCCAAAGTTGAAGCTCAAACGTAACGATTAACTGTACATAGCATAATTTTCATGGGGACTTAGAGTATACGAGGAAAGTAGTGATGAACCAGCGTTGAGATAGGAGAATACTGATCAATGCTGATGAAGAAGTTAGGTAAAAACACAAAACAGATGCTGTGGAGCAAAAAATATGCGATTTCTGTGGATCGAACACAGGACCTCCAGATCTTCAGTCTGACGCTCTCCCAACTGAGCTAAAACCGCTTATAGTATAATTTCGCGGTAGATGTTGTATATGTTCGCTAAGAAATTGGTGGGGCCGAAATCTTGGAAATTCACATTTTGAACCCCATGATTATATTTTACCGACTTAGAAGACCACGCCTACGATTTGTGGGCTAAAGTGGCCCATTATTCGTCGAGCTAGCCTCATTTTTTGATCGGGAAGGCTTGCTACACTGACTTAAGTTGTGAAAATGTACATTTCGACTACCTAAACGGTGAGCGGTATTCACCAAAGTGTCTCCACCTACTCAAATGCTCAAATTGAGTTGGGATGCATCAAACCTTTTGCTTCTTCGACGGAGCTTCAGAGAAAATGCTCTTCTTCAAGATGTTGTTGACAAGCTTTTCGTCCGGGATGAAGGTGTAGTTGGTATCTCCGATACAGAAGAGCTTCTCGCCTTTTGCACATTCTCGCAAAGCTTTAAGTTCAGATTGGAGGACAATCCTCGACATGCCTTCCCTAGTCTGAAGTTGTGACTCATTCAAGGTCTCATCTAACTCCGGGTATTCAGAGATACGGAGGTCTAGAATCTTGAACAAATTTACTTTGAGCGATTCGGTAAGCTTTCCAGACTCAACTAGTTGGTAGCACTTCTTGAAGACCCTTCTTATACCACGCCCTTTGTTCTCCAGTGATTCGTCGTTGAATGGTGTCCTATCATTGATCTTTGCAAGTACGGTGAGTAACTGAGCCAAAAAGCACATCTCGAAAATCACCTCTCCTGAAACGTAACAATCAAAACTGTCCACGACGAATTCTTCGTCTTCCTCTTCTTGGATTTCCAAGAGAATGCTTATTATGTCTTCCACGTTGGTGGCCAGAAGGGAAGTGGATTCCACAAAGTATTTTTTGATCAAATCAAGAGACACTTCTCCAAAATCTGCGGTAGAACCCTCCGGTTCGACGTAGCCGTATCTTCTGAGAATCTCAGCATTAGGGTGGTCCGAGTAGGTATTGTATATCTGCTGACCCTTTTCAATAGGCTTGATAGAACGCATAACGAGAGAATCATTATCCTGTATTAGGCTTGCATTGTGGTGGTTCGTATTAGCGTTTAATGTATCAGCTAATGGAAGCATACTCTTGATATAGGACGAGTTTTTAACATCGGGACTATCTGTTTCATCGTCTTCATCTTGGTCATGTCCATTCTCTATTTGAACATCAAAGGAGTATGACATGATGAGTGCTGCAGCTTTATGTAAATCGGACTGGGACATGTTTTCAAAGGTTTTGATACCAAAAGACGCTGCAATGTCCCTGACTTTTTGCAAAAGAGCCTCGGCCGAGGCCTTGCCAATGCGCTTAACGATGTACGATGGCTTTAAGCGGTCAATTTCTTCTTCTGACCAAAACACAAGCTGATCGAATTTGTAATTCTCGGAATCGCCAATGGGAAGTATGTCGAAGTAAGGTGTCCATTTACTGTCTTTCCCTTTGACTTGCCATTCGTACATAAGGACCAAGATAAGTGCCTCCCATTGAGGAAGATCCAAGATCTTGTCTTTCAAATCAGGATATTCCTTTATCAAGGAGTTATTTGTAGCGTTGATGAATACCTCTTGGGGAAGCTTGAATAGATCTTCATCAGAGGCGATGTCCTCAATGGCCACAAGGGCCCTTCCTTGACCGACGCTTCTGAGATCCTTAATCTCGACTTTATCGGAAATGTCGACTTTATTATCCTTCAACCATTGGACGAAAGTTTCAGTCTTATCGGTGAAGCTCATCTTGCGCACCTATAGGATTTTTCGCACCCACCGATATGGTTGGTACCAGTGGGGTAGTAACCTACTTCTCTAAACATCAGTATATTACAATTATTATTTAGCCTTTGGTTTACAGTCCACCTCATCCAAATGCTTAATGTATACTTGGCTGGGTTCAGGATTATATGGTGCATCAGTATCGGCTAATCTCAAGAACCCATCGTCTATCGTACCCACAACCATTAGAGACCCATTATGACTTATGTCCATGTGTGATATGCTTCTTTGACAAGGAACTATCTGAAATTGCTTCATTCGTTTCCGCTTCTCCCAATTCCATACACAGACATGCCCGTCACCACCTGCAGTGAAAAGAGTGTGATATCGGTTATGAAAGCGTAGACCTGTAACAGGATAAACTGTGTCTGTGCGAGTTTGGGTATCAGTCAGCCTGTGACATTTGAAAGCAAACTTGCGTTTCTGAGACTCCTCCAGTGTATCGTTATATTCCATCGAGACACGGCCATCTATACTTGACAATGCAAAGCCGTCACCCGATGGAAAGCTTCTGATGTTGGTCATTTGGTATCTCAATCCGCTAGCTCGAGACTGCCAGGGAGCATCTCTTCGCCTCAAGTCAAATATTTGTACCTGACTATCAGCCAATCCTACCGTAACGAACTGCGATGTTGCATCGAACGCAAATAGCTTGGAAGGGCACGAATGTGAATCGACCACACGATTGATTCTTGGATCAAAATATCGGATTGTGCCGTCAATGGATGTGCAAATGATCAAATTAGGACTCACGGCTTTTAAATGGTTGATGGGACTTGGGGTATCATGGTCCTTGACAATCGCCAAAGGCGAAGTCATTCTCGTGTTTTCATAATCGAACTGCCTTAGCGTACCATCTAGGCAACCAGCGTATGTGGTATGCCCTGACAGAGTAATACCAACGATAGGTGACGGTGTGCTTAACTCTGCAGCTAGATCACACAGGGGTGATTGAGCACCGCTATGACAAGTGTATAGTAGGGCTGTGTTATCATGTGTTGCTACCAACAAGGAATTCAGTCTAGACTCAAATTCAACACACGATAAAACCCCAAGATCTGTGGGTGTTGGTATTGGAACATAGGCCATCGAAGTGTTGATATCTTCTAGTGCGCGCGTCAAGACTTGGAAGACTGGCTGCGAAATGTACACATTTCTCCGGGGTCCTGGTCGGGCTCGACCCACTCGTAATTTTCTCCGTGTGCAAGCCAAAAATCTAGTAAGGTTTGTTCCTCTTTTAAGATTTTCCAATTGAGTCTCCTTTTTTGAAGCTCCTCCCGGAAGTACTTAGCCACCAATTCAGTATGCTCATTCCTAGCATGGTTTGCAAGCACTGGGAGACTGGTGGTGCTCGGCAAAAACATGTCATATTCGTCTTGACCAAAGATGCCGAGTGTTGGTTTATGGCGAACCTCTGAAGTATGATAGTTCTTAAAATTGAGCTCACTATGCTCTTCAAAGTGTGTGATCATTCTGTTCATCCATGCCTGCTCGTGGCGGTGAGTATAACGGTGAATGACACTCGTATGCGGCCGCCAGCTGACTCTCTCTCCATGAGAGGAGAAGTACACTTTTAGTAGTCCATAAGCCGTTCCATAGACTGAAAGTATGGTAAAGGGTAGCAAATAGTAAAGCAGCGCCATGGAGATGAAGCAGAATTGTACAATGGAAAGAGCGCTGATAAGAATGGTGCAGCCACCAAAGTGTTGTTTCAACAATCCCTTTTGTGAATTCTTATAGCCAGCTGAGCCATATGTGGCGTCTAGGAGGCCGATGCAGTTGTGATAATCGTTCTTCTTGAGAAGCTTTCGTAGTAGCAATGAAACTGTGTCAAGCAGTTTAAGACCAGAGTGTGGCATACTGAAGTTTGCTTTCACAATTTGGAACGACCTTGCTATATCTGCGTTTGGATTCAGGATAAACGCTGCTACTATTTCCTCGTCACTAACGCACACTTCCCAGTGCTCCTTCAAGAAGTCCCACAATTCATCCTCAAGCGTAGCACTCGGAATGTTGACTTTGAGATTGAGAAAATTGGCTCGTTCTGTTGGATTGACCTTGAATTGTCCGCGTGGCTCCCTATTGATTCTCTGTAGTTTCCTGTTCGCCTTAGTGTAATCGAGGATGAGGTCCCGCGAGATTCTTTCGAACGATCTCAGCTCTGCCACTCTCAGCGCAAGAGCCTCATAATTGAGAGGCTTCTTCGAAAAAAATGTCGAATAGAGCCTCCGAATACATAGCATAAGAGCAGATACTATTTGGTCTGGTCAAAAATAGGTCACATGACTGAATCGAGAAGATGGATGCTTCTTCCCGGGTGCGGCACATCATTACCATACCTAATTAGGCAGAACCAAAACATTGATCCAACTACGTCTCAGCCCGCTGATTTCGCAAAACATCTACAATCAAGTACTAGCTTCTAAGTCATGTCCAAAAAGCCCATCGACGAGTGGCAGCCCCCTGTCCCTCCTCATGACAAGCGGCTTAGCAGCCAATCCTCCAGATTCTCACACGGCTCATTTCATAACGCTGAGGTTGGAGAAGCCGTGCCAGTTCCTATAAAAAGATCGGAAAGTGTCAGAACACAAGGAAGCGTCAAATACTATGAGGGTTCTCGAGTTCCCTCTGAGGCTCCTACCACTACGGACGAAGAGTCAATGTACTCCGAGCACCAGGTTAAGCTTGGTAGACTCAATACTAGGGTGAGTCAGGCTCCCAACGTGGCAGGCCCTCTGATGACATTGAACACAGAGGTTGAAGATGTGGTGCCCCCTAGGCTGAGAAGAAGACCCAAGAGCGAGATCTTACCATCACCAACCCGTGGGTCCAAGGACAGCTCCCCCAAACATGCTCATAGATTTTCCGTCAACATCACAGACGATTTGGACAAGCTCATGGAGAACGCCAGCAGCTTGAGGAGTGAGCCATTGGACGATGAGCCATTTGGCGTCACCAGTCCTACTGAGCTGCACTATACCGCACCAGAGCCTTCTTCCATACCTGGTAACACTAACAGACATTCCACTTTTTCGTCTGGCAGCTTCGAAACAGCCGACAGTGGAGAAGGTTCAGATGGGTTACCTCAGGTTCCAGAGCATACCGTTGGCAGTCGTCAATTGCCCAAGAGGCCAAGCCCACAGAGCTTGGAGAAGGCCAGAGTTGCATCACACCAGTTCAGCTTGTACTCGCGCGAGGAAGGTGAAAGAACTCTCAGCTTCCATGAGCTGGAAAAGGAAGGTGACGCGGGAGATGAAGCCGAACCTAAAGAAGAAGGAATTCAGCGTCCACACCATGTTATGAGCAGCGAGGAGGAGTATGGAAAAGCCTACGAAAGAGAGTTTGCAAAGGAGCAGGGATTCACTCCCGAGGGCACCAGTGATGCAGGCACTAGCGTGGGTCCTAGTCGAGGCCCTAGTCTTCGTGCTGCAGTGGTTGCAAAAGAAGCTGCGAAAGAGGAAGGTGATGTTGAGGGCCTCAATGTAGCTACTGGAGTTGCGGCTGGCGTTGCTGCTGGAGCTGTTGCTGGAGGAGCTGTTGGGCTTGCTGCTGGAAATGCTGAGGGCACCGAATTGGAGCCACCATTGGAAGCCAATCGTGCACCAGTAGAGGAAACCAACGAGAACACTGAAAAGCAAGAACCAGGCCTGCCATACCTAGAAAGACCACAGGCTGGTACTTTACTTGCAAAAAGCGACCCTGACATTGTTGCTGCGAGAGACAGTGTCTACACGGATCATGGACTTGGACTCGGTCACGACGACGAGTACTACGATATTGAGGAGCCCGTGGTGGTGAACCCAGTGAGGGCCAAGTCTGTGAAGGACAATATCCAGATGCCCAAGCGCAAGAGCACCAAGCGTAAGGCGCGGAAAAATGTTCGCAGTGGCAGCGGAGGCATGAAGCCATTTTCGTACAACACGCTCATCAATCTCCTTGAGAGCATCAACGGTGCTGTGATTGGCGAAGAATTCGAGACGCTCAGCATCCCCATCAAGGAAAAGCAGATGATCGAGAAGATCGTGGACTCGTTGAGTCGGCTCACCTCCGACATGATTCTCGATGAACAGCGGTACGAGATTGGACTCGAGCGGCTCGAGAAAGCACATCGTGTGCTTGAAGGATTTATGTAGGTCTGCTGCTGGCGAGCCAGCGCACAGTATGTTATTTAGGAAATGTCTAATTGAACGAATGGGATTTAGCCTCGCGCGGCGCACTGGCTATCCTCTATTAGGGCAGACTCCTGCCTTCCTGGGCCAGCATGGCGCCGCATCTGGGATCGGCTATCCCAAGCGAGGCCCAAAAACGCTCGTGGGGTCGTCCGATTTCTTATTCTGAACTTTAAATTTTTTTTTTTAGCAAAAGTCCCTTTATTTTGACTCTCGGACCCGTGGACAAGCAAAGTATTGGCCGAGACGTGTTTCATTGTCTCAACAATTTAACGTTTTTGTGCTCAATTATTCTGGATCCGACCGCGTACAGTGCTGGCCCTCTGTGGTCAGAGCTCCAGTGCAGGACTCTAAAATCCCACTTCCACAGCTTAGACGAGCATCCTGGCGGTCCAGCGTCATCGGACATTATCCCCACCTATATCTGCCTTTTTTCTTTTGTATCCACTACCAAGGAATTTTGTGGCACCGAAGTAGTCCCTCGTGCAGCCTCACCTGCTGGCACCTGCCAAATAGCCCACTGCATGCACTCCGCTGTCTACCGTCATACAAACCACCCTCACCTTTTGCTTCTCCATATCTGCAATTTTTTTAGATCCCACTACACTGCTTCCGTGGACGTCCCGACGTGACTAGGTTTTGAATTGCCTGGTTTTGACTTGGCGATTTTTAACAGCCTTCTTGCCCTTCCGGTTGATCCTTGTTTCCCTGCCCCGCCATTGTGTGTTGTGACTCCAATGTCTGTTCACACTGACCTGCGGTCTTCGTCCCCTGTGACGACCCCCCAATTATCCGATATCCAGTCTTGCTCTCGCCAGTCGAACCTGCTGCCGTCTCTGACTGGTCTGAGCTCTCCTTCCGCTAAAGACGACTATAGATGGAGGAGTCTTCGAATCGAGGTCCCTACATCTCTTCCCCGGGAAAGACCTACTTCTATGAAAAGCCCCGTGTCTGCCAACCCTTCCCAATTGGCAGATCCCATAGACATTTCCCCACTGGGTCTGTTCGATATAGGCAGCATCACCCAGCTACCGACCCCTGTTTTGAATAACGGTCTGTTTGCGCAGTCGAAGATCACTTTACCGAAAAGGGGCCAGCTCCACGATTCTCCTTCCAGTGCCTCTCAGAGGGCTGTGTCGGAATTCAAGCCTGGATCCTTCATTAGACGCGCAGAGACTCCAAACCCACCATCTTCTAGCAACAGGCATGTGTCCAACCCTTCCCTGCTTGATGATGATGCTTCTACAATTCCGCTGCCACCGTTGGACCGCGACCAAGGCCAGCTTGTGGGTAAGATCATAGAGGCTCCCAGACTCCATAAGCTGTACGTCTTTGATGAAGTGGTTGGACGCGGTACGTTCAGCACAGTGGTCCGTGCCCATTCCTTGTCAAGCCTTGATGATGTCATCGCTGTCAAGATTGTGAACGTCCCTACTCACTCCAAAGAAGATATCTCCAACTTCCGCCTGTATATTTGCCGGGAGCTCGGTATCTTAACTCACCTAAACCACCCATGCATTGTGGGTCTTCTAGACTACTCGGTAAACCTTTCAATCACGCAGGACGAAGTTGACCAGGTTGTATCGGGAAAACCCCAAGACGCTCCGGCTGGCTCCGACATGTACGACTTTTACAATGTCAAGATGCAAAATAAGCAGTACTTCCTACTCAGGTATTGTGAAGGAGGCAATTTGTTCACTTGGCTATACAAGAATCATCGGAATCTTAATCGATCAGACTACTTCTGGCAATTAATGCAACGAGTTGTGGCCGAACTTATAGTTTGCGTTGCATTCTTACACAGCCATGACGTTGTGCATCGCGACCTCAAACTCGAGAATGTGCTTTTGAATTTTGGTGAGGCCGACGTGACGAGCGAATTTCTTCCCCAAAACCAAACCTCGCCGCTTTGCACGTTGACAGACTTTGGCCTCTCCAAAAAACTCTCGCTGCCTAACCAGCTACTTTCGACGAAATGTGGTTCACAAGACTATGTGAGTCCTGAGCTTCTTATGGGGCTAGAGTATGACGGCAAACTCCTTGATTCGTGGTCGCTTGGAGTTCTCATCTACGCCATTTTGGAAGATAGACTCCCCTTCGACGCCCCACCTCTCGAATTCATGTCCAATTCTGCCATTTCTCCCTCAGTCTTGAAGCGCCGGCGCAAGAGACACAATCCTGCTCATAGAATCGCTATGATTGATTGGGAGTGGCTTCGAACGGCTGCTGCGATGAAGGACGATACATTTACAGACCAGTCCAAGCTGATCATGAAGGATCTCATGAGTGTCGTTGATGTCTTGCTTGTTCGGAAGGACAGGCGCTTGACTGTAACGCAAGTTTTGACTGATGATAGATTCCAGTGGATCAAGGGCCAAGTGCCCGCTTCTTTCCTTGAGCACACCCAATAAGCTCTACACGTTCCTTTTACCCCTTTCCAATGCTGTATTATATAAGCACCGACGATGCAATTGTCATACCAATCTCGCCTTTATTAAAGTAAATGCATATATCATGAGAATATTGGCTGCAAATTGTCGTAGGCACAAGCTTCCGCGCCAGTAACACCGGTGCTGCCATGCAGGCCACTGGTCGCACACTAAGATGAAAGTTATAAACTGTGAAGGAAAAAGTGCTTTGGTAACTTCAATCACATTAGAAAGCTACGTCCTTCCCCGTGGCAATCATTCCAAAAGCGGCTTTTATAGTCCTGTTGACCTGCATACGTCTCATACACTCGACTCCAAACGTTGATCGACTGATTAGGCGACTCTAAAGTATGGAGGTCCTGCTGGCTACGTCAGGTATCCAGAATGGATCAACCAACGGCAACTTGGGCTCGCTTCCTGAGCTTCCGCATGTTACAAATAATATCATCCCGCTTTCAAATGTATTGAGGTTCTACACCCAGGAAGCTTATAAGCAGTTGAGCCGATTGATCGAGAACTTAGCCAACACAAAGACATCCGAAAGCGATATTGCCAGAAAGAAGAAGTTTTTAGAGGTTATTATATCCCTCAGAAAGGATTTCTTGAAGATTTATACCCTAGTAAAATGGGCGCAAAACTCGAGAGATGTTTCCAAGCTTATCGATCTTTTGAACTTCTTCAGGACCCAGGAGTTTTACTTCGAAAACTTGGGTCACGGCCTCAATGAGCTCAATAATTTCAGTGGAGCTAAACTACCCGATTCCGACATATTTACAGCCTTGGAGCTACTTGTGAAGGGTCGGCCCCAACTTCCGTCATATAATTTCATTCTGAAGCCGCTAGTTTCCCCCGAGAAAGTTCTAGAGGTGTTGAAAGATCTTAATTTGACTTTAACCGCTCGGATGGCCTTAATCAAAGAAATGCCACTGCGCTTTAACAACAATTATGAGATAAAGGATGGCAGAGTCATCATCACGATCCCCAACGAATTCCAAGTATCCATCACCGTCGGCAACGACGAAATCATTGAAAACGCCGAGGACTATCCAAAATCGCCATTCTTTTTCATCGACTTTGCATTTTTATTCGGTATCAATCCAGATACCGGCCTCATTACACACAAGGATAGCCGAATAATAACAAGGCTCCCAGAAGCCTCTCGTTCGAAGCTTGAAACAGCGATGAATCAGGTGTTGCTTACACAATCGCTCACCGGCCTTTACGACTCGCTTCACAAATACTCGATCTCGTTTAAGCTATATCTCATTTCAAGACAATTGAGAGACCTTTCAGTCAACAGCAAATGGAAGAACAATATCCAGTTCAAGTACTCATCTTCCCTTATAATTATAAACTATTGGTCTAAGAACTACTTTTCAAAAGAGTGGAAGTCATTTATTGAAATTGGTATTGACCATCTGTACAATCTCAATTTCCGTTGGTTCAAGAACGGGAAGTATAATTTGAACCACGATATCGAGAGCATTACCGGAAATTATGAAGATGACGCGCAGGATCTCAGTGTTGATTGGATTCTTAGTCTCATTATCAATAAGCATTCTGAGATCCTCATGCATAAAATCTTCGAGCAGTTGCTGGAGCAACTACCTCCTGAGGCATGCTCATCTATCAACCCTTACCAGCTCCTTATTCAGCTCACGCCCAAGAAGTCCACTATCCTTGCCATCAATCCACTCACTGGTTTCTTTTATTTCATGGATCCTTCCCCTATTCAAGCTCAGATTCAGAATAAGATCAACAGCCCGCCATATACGTCGAAGGGTAACACTTTTATCAGTGAACGCGAGATAATCGATAATGTGGTAAAATACTTGATACAGCTCAGATTGGAGAGTCTCAGTGAAACCTTAAATAACCAGTTGATCACTACTGAATGGATCGCTAATGATATCATTAAATTCAATGATGCGGAAGTGAGCAAATTATATGAATCCTTGCAAGCTGAAGACACAAACGCTATCGAGCAAGCCAACTCACCGAGAAAGGTTCAATTTTATAGATGTCGCAATTGGCCAACCTTCTCATTTTTAATAAGCTTGATCAGCGGTGTGACCTTGAAGACATACTGGTGGGTGTCTAGGCTTAAGTCCATCAAAGGCGAGTGGAGAATCCAGTGGATGCAGGTGTTAAAGCCCGCTCAAGAAGATGAGCTAAGCTATTCGTTCTTCAAGAATCTTTCGAAATCTGGCTCCAATTTGATTGTTGATCATATCATTGTGGAAGAGTTGCAGAGTCGAAAGGTGAAGTACTTGAACTTCAGTGATGAATCGGCCCTTAGCCACTTCAATCTTCCATTCACTTTAGAGAGCTCACCTTCAAGGTACGAGTCGGTGTTTGTATTATTCAACCATGGCAATTTACTCCCCGTTGCCGTGTCTTCAACATCTTTGTTTCTTCGTGTGAGATTATCATCCGACGATGTGTCAACTAAGATGGGTTTGTCAATTTGGGGGTCTCTCAAAAATATTTCCCAGTCAGATATTGGTGTCTTGGAAAAACTTAATGTCAACATTCTCAGCGATAAGGAAAAGTTCGAAATTCTGGCCCTGATTGATTTCTCAAGGAAGCTGATCGAAAGCAGTGAGACAGATGGTACGCACAATCTTCTCAATCAGTTATTTGGGCATTTGGAGAAGGTTGACCTGTTGGTAAGGATGTTGTATCAACTCAAGAAAACAGACATTTATGTCACGACTACAACTGTTGACCAGCTTGCATTTACAATTGACCCAGTTTATGAAGAGTTCCACTTGAAGCTTCCAGCTAACGATCAAATGCAACTACAATTGACCACAGGGGATCATGAAGAAGATTCAGTGAAGGTTTTGACTAAATTCCTCAACCAACAAATTGCTGAGTCTCATGATGCACTCGTGGGATCCATTCGTTACCTCAAGGAGTTTGCACCTGTAATCAGCTCCACGAAAAAAGTACGCAATTACTTGCTCGAGAAGAAAACACCAAAACTTGCGAACAAACTTTCCAAGCTCCAATTTGAGATCAAACTTCAACATCTCAACTCCTTTCAGTTCATTTTCTATCACAACAGCATCAACCCCAGCACACCCAAAAAGACCCAGAAGGATCGCATCTCATTTGCAATGAGTTATGCACGGAACAAGTTCGACGCGGAGGGAAGACTATTCTTGAAATTCTCCATGAAAGAGAATCTCAATTCTCAAAACCTTAAGTACAAGCCTTTATTCGAAATGATATTCAAGGCTGTTGGCGAGTTACAGCAAGAATTGCAGAAAGATTCCGAGAAGGGTCGCTTGATGAAGCTCAATTACGACTTCCTCCTCGACCAACGGATCTTGGAAACTCTTCTATTGAAGATTACGGACTGTTTCTTGAACTACATCCTGAATGAGTCTTGATAATGCTGAGTTTATGAATATCTAAAATTATATACGTAAGTTAATGAACGATGGTGAAATATGTACAAGCTACTGCAAGTACTGAGGAGCATATCATCACAAAAGTAACAAAAGCTCTTTCTGCTGCTCTAATATTATTCTTGCAGAGTCTCATGTAAAACGAACAAGGTAAGATTATGCACACAAGAAAGCAGATGGATGAACCCATGACACCGACAATTTTATCGAACTCTGGAACCAAAATAGCCAAGAATACGAATGCAACATTTACGCCAACACGAACGAGGAATTGAAGGACAGCTCTAACTAGCCCATACACCCTTGATTTGCTCTCCTTCTGACTGTCGAGATCAAGAAGAGCATCAAGAGTGGAGATAATTGGCTTCGCGTTAAGCGGTGTTTTTGCCAATGGTATGAGACAGATCAAGGCACTTATGAGCGGATAAACCCATCTAGGGTATCCAGCTGTCTCAAGGAGATTACTCGTCACCTCATTATTACAAAGGCCACCAAACATCAAGAAGCCAATAATGGCCATGGAACAGTCTGCTAGGCATGTGAGGGTGTAAGTTGTCGCTAATGTGTTTGTGAATTTGTGTGGATGCCTCATATCATTCTTCAAATTGGGGAATATGGCATGACCACTGAAAGGTGCCATGATGATACCAACAGCAGCAAACACATCGGGTATTGATTTGGGCCACAAGTTTGTGGGCATTACTTGTATGAGAGATCCCGGGGATGATGTTTTGAGAAGTCCACAAAGTCCAACAAGCACGATTATGGAAAAGGTGGCCAAAATGCCGAACCCCAGAAATATAGACAAGATGGGTAATGGCATGAAGGTGAAAGGCGTGAGAACAATCAAAGCCAAAAATTTGAAGCTCGTCTTGGTCCATCCGGCTGCATCATTTCCCAAAAGAGAGTATAAAGAGTCGCTAAAAAGCAACACGAGAGACACGCCAGATCCGAGCAAGTCTATTGTGAAAATGATCGAGATGAGAAGTTTTGCAGTTGAGCCGTAGGATGCGTAGCCAAGATCGGCGTAGGTCATGATGGTCTGATCAGTGTCCATTGCTTTAGAGATTAATGAAGCTGTCCAATATGTAGCTGCACAGCCCAAGAGTAGCATTGAAAACCCAATAACCCATCCTCCCCTCAAGAGTCCAACAGGTAATGCTAAAAGTCCGACTCCGATGAGAACATTGATGGAGTTCAAGACAGTTTGAGGTGCTGTGGATTGGCCAGCGATGATGGTAACGAGGTTGCCGTCCTTATCCTCCACACGCTTGATACCAAAATAAGATGCAGTGGTTGCCCCCGAGCGGGTCAGTAGATGTGACCCAAAAGAGAGTGCTGGATGACTCTTTTTCTTTGTTAAGGGTGTCATTCCTTGGATCGAGAGGTTCTCATCCCTGGACTTGGTTGCATGAAGAATGCTGCTGACATCGTCTTGGTAGAACACCTCGTTGAAGTTAGATGGACCTGAAGGACTAGGCAAAATGTTGGAAGCACGCAAAGAGTTGTGCTCGTGGAGAACAGTGCTCAACCTCTCACCTCTTGGAGAAGGAGCCATGAGATCCGGGTCAAAAAGCTCATCATCTTCGTAACCAACAGCGGAATCACTGTCATCGGGGCCTGCGAAGAAAGATCTCTTCTTCAGAATGTTGGCATCGATCTGGTTAGCAGCAAAGGATTGTGCTCTGGTGAACGAGGTAGCAAAGTTGTGCAAAGAATTGGGACCTCTAAAGGACCCGACTGGTTGAGTGAATATCGACGTTCTTCTCGAGGGAAGAAGTCTTGAGTCCTCCGTGTATTCCTCGTCAGACATATGCTTTGAGAGAGGTTTGTGTTCAGGTGAATTCAAAAAGAAAAAGTTTGCAGTAGCGGAAAGTTATGTTGTGGTCTCATTGCTTATCTCTGCCAATTTAGGCGAGCATGTCAGCCGCACATCCTGCTGCAGACTACACGAGCTCCAGGGCACCTAGATTAAAGTATTTTCTGAAGCAGTGCCTCATGACATTTAAATGTTGGTTTTGGCGTTTTTCGTAAATATTTTCGTGAATCTGTTCAGTTTCTCGTTTCATGAGTTTAACTACTTTCGTACTAGTTCCAACGGCAATCCGCATTCTCGAAACGCCGATCGCCCTGATATGTCAACAGTCCATGCAGCTACCTCGCCCGACTAAAATAGCTTGATGGTCGGACTTCAAAAATAGCGAGTCACAAAGGCTAAGCCTATTGCGTCTATATTATATTTACAAGTATATGATCAGTCCAAACACCGACTGATGACCATTGCGGTAGCGGAGCCAACGTTGAGCGAATCGACAATATTGTGTTCATCGTCAGCCCTACCCTTTTTCATCGCAACAAGGTAATCGGAACGCAACATCAAGTTCTTCTTGATACCACTGCCCTCGCTACCCAAGACTAAGAGAACAGGAGATTCACTGAGTAAGACTGGCAAGTCACTCGTTTCGACAAACTTGTTCTCGAGATGACTGGCATGATTTTCCTTCATCGATTCAAGCTCTGCGTCACTGGGTCTTGATGTGGTGGACACAATATTCCATCCGCTCTTCTTCATACGATCAAAAAATGGCATGGTCTCATTCGTCTTGAAAATCGACATCATGTCAAGGGCTCCAGCAGAAGCTTTGGCAGTGACAGGACCTATCCGTGCTGAATCCTGGCTTGGAACAACAATAAAGTCAGCACCCAAGAAGTACGCAGATCTGACGATGTTGCCAAAGTTCATGGGATCGGTGATGCCGTCGAGGTAGATCCCAAGAGGATGGATATCTTTTTTGGGTCTGGTTATTCCCCTAGCTAGTGGAAACCTATTTTTCTCTCTGGCACCCGTCTCCTCATTGATGGTAGTCACATCGTACTCACCCTCGAAAGTATCGACATTAAAGATGGTCTGGAGCCTGAGGGGCTTTGTTTCCAAGACAACTCCGTTGTGAACTCCATTCGAGCTGAGTTTGTTCATCTCCATTTTGCTCTTCTTCTCCACAACCTTGATGCCATACTTCTCGGCAAGACGTAAGATCTTGCCAGTGTGCTCTCGCGTATTGAACGTATAGAGCTTGCTGAATGAATCTCGTTTTCCAGCTGTTAAAGCTGAAATGACAGGGTGAGTGCCAAACACGTACTCAGAAAGCGGGTTAAGAGAAACAGGCTCTCTCCGCGTCCGTTCCTCGTAGGCATCACCAAGCTCGTGTTTACGGCGCTCTTCACGTAGTCTTCTTTGCTTTGCAACTTTCTGATCCAACTTTTTTCTCTCCTCTGCCGTGATGTTGCCGTACTTTCTGATGAAGAACTCATCCTTGGAGATGTTCATGCGTTCCCATATTTTGCGATCATCTTTTTTCTCCAGCGTATTGAAATTGTCGTCAAATGTCTTTATTCCTTTTCTAGAATTATGAGGCTTGAAAACTGGCTTCACAGCGTGGAGCTGGACAGTGGTGTGGAGGGACCTCTTTATCATGTATTACGTTGTGCGATGTCTCATCGCATCGGCCTTACAGTTGAAATACTCAAGCACAAGCAAAAAACACCCCAAAGTAAAGTTTCTCGTTCAAACATCCAGCTTTTCCTACTCGATGTTATTCGTAATACTCTTGCAATTCGGCAATCGGCCGACTTCTTCGCCTATTATCTAACCTATTTTATCTCATTTTGTGGCTCTAGAAGCCTTGCTATGTATCGTCGGAATAAATATGGCTTGATTCTCTAAAACAAGACACCCTTTGTGCTTGGAACATCGTTTGAACCGGTCTTGCTTATAGCTTCCTTCATCGCCACGGCCAAGGCTTTGAAAGCACTTTCAGCTCTGTGGTGGTCGTTGAATCCTCTCAAACAGTCAACGTGAATTGTAATAGCAGCACCTTGAGCAAAACTTTCGAGGACATGTGGGATCATCTCGCAAGACAAGTCACCAATCTTCTCTCTCTTCAAACCCAACTCAATGACAGCATAAGGTCTGTTTGACAAGTCAACAACAGCTCGGCTCAAGGCCTCATCTAGAGGAGCAAACCCGGAACCGAATCTTTTGACACCCTTGACCTGGCCCAAGGCTTTGTGGAATGTGAGACCCAAGGTAATACCAACATCTTCGGCGGTATGGTGGTCATCAATGTGCAAATCACCAATACATTCCACGATAAGAGACCAGCCTGAGTGTTTCGCCAAAGCGTGCAACATGTGGTCCAAGAAACCAATACCGGTTTGAACCAGAATCACTTGCGCCAGACTCAGCTGTGTAGCATGCTCATCGTTGACCTTGTCTGGGAAGATGGACTGTTCGACAGCAATATGGCCACCATCCAAAGAGAGAGCTATTTGGATTTTTGTCTCGTTTGTGTCTCTTTTAATAGTTGCAAACCTGGACATGGTGTAGTTGATGTAAGTGAATATGTTCAATGAGCTTATCGCGAATAATATGTCTTGTATAGTAATGAGTCAGGCTAGACCGTTAGCCAAGCCCAACGAAGATTTTTCAACACTGTCGGTTCCGGTCTCTTTTTCCAATGAGATGATATGATTCAAAGTTGAAAAAGCGAGAGTCTCGACGATCGTAGTGTTAAATCGATGTAAGCTGTATTGTTTGCATTTGCAGCCATTCTGCTAAATCAGGCTACATACGCATAATCATGCAGAGTCTAAGATGAATATTTCGGTCCACCATAATTTTATTCTTCCTTGTTGTAAGCTTTGTTAGAGATCTTGATATTTCCGTTGATAGAAGGACAAGAATACGAAGTAGTGGTCTATTGTCGCTCTCGTGCTCTCCACATAGTCAGCGTTTCAGCGAGTTAGAGGCACATCCTTAAATACTCTTCAATCCCATTTTATGGAACTCTAGACAGACTCAAAGTCCAAATCGTTTGACATAGTGCAGCGTAATTCTTGATTGCGATTTTGTTCGTCTTCTTGAACAAGTCAAACATCTGGTGTCTGCGAGAAACTTGACATTCTCCTCAGTCAACCGTTTTCGCTGAGTGTCGAGCATCTACTTCTTCTTGGTCCAATTCGATTCGTATCAAACAAAAGATCATAATCTGCAAGCCGACCTACAAATTTGCAACCACTTGGGTTGTTACTAGTTCAGTTGAATCTACGGTTGATGGCAAGACCTCTTTAATTGAAACAAACATCTTTAAATAGCTTTTGAATCAATGCAAGCTTTTCATTTGTGAATTCAACCTCCTGCTAGATTGCAATTATTTGATCTTTGGCTTAGCCAGATCTAGTCAGAAAAAGTCGCACATACTAACGGTCTTGTTTACTTAAGCGAGTTCCGGCCGCGGCAAGTATACCCCTAATTGATCTCAGGGTCAAAGAATTATTACTGTCTGTTCACGACAATTTCATTATTTTGACACAGGGGTTTAAAGAAATCGACAGGGCCCCTGTGCTTGAATCATCTCTGTACAGGCCAGCTTCTTCTCTGAAACCTGCCTACGAAAAACCGATCGTGAAGATACCGCACATCAACAAATAGGTCTGATTCAAAACCTGTGCATCTCCTTTCGTGATTCCCTACAGGCATTGCCCCCAACCCATCCTTCAATTGGCCCAAACGTTTCCTTTATTTGCCTGTATTCTCCTAAGGCTTAAATCAATCGATCCCTGGGAACCGTGCATGGTCATAGCTTGACCCGAGGCTCTAAGCCATGTCTTCAATAGATTCATACAAGCGAACCGAAGTAATCGGTCAGGGAAAGTTTGGTGTGGTTTACAAAGGGTTCAATGTCAAAACGAAAAAGGTGGTGGCCATCAAGGTGCTAGAGCTAGATACTCAGTATGATGAGGTGGTCGATGTCCAGCAGGAGATTCAATTTCTCGCTGATTTGAAAAACGCCCCCAACGTGACACACTATTATGGCTCTTTCCTTAGTGATACGAAGCTTTGGATTATCATGGATTACTGTGCTGGTGGGTCTGTGCGTACGTTGTTAAAGGCTGGCGTCTTTGAAGAAAAGTATATTGCAGTTATCGTCCGAGAGACCCTACTAGCCCTACTGGCTGTGCATAAGTTGGGTGTCATTCACCGTGATTTGAAAGCAGCCAACATTCTTATCACCAATGAAGGAAATGTTCAGGTGTGTGATTTTGGTGTTGCAGCACAACTTTCTGCTAACTCCTTGAAACGTACTACCATGGCAGGCACGCCCTTTTGGATGGCCCCTGATGTCATTCGTGAAGGTGACCAATATAATGTCAAGGCTGACATTTGGTCTCTAGGTATCACAGTTTTCGAAATAGCCACTGGTAATCCACCATATTCGGATAAATCCTCCAACTGGGCGATGACTATGATCGCTAAGCTGACCCCTCCCCGTCTAGAGGGAAGAGAATACCCTCAAGCATTAAAGGAATGCATTGCTCTATGTCTTGACGAGAATCCTGAGGAAAGACCATCTGCTGATGAATTGCTGAAGTGCAAACTTGTGAAGCAGTATAAAAGCATGCCTACAAGCATATTGAAAGAGCTAGTCTCTAGATACCTTTTATGGCGTGATAAAAACTCAAGGCGAGATTCGGTCTTTTACAATATGAATCATGATGAAAACAACGAGGACACATCCAACGAAAATCAACTTCAGGTCAAGTGGGATTTCGACTCTTTGAGTAGCAAGGAATACATTATGGATAATGATATCCATATCAAAGAGGTTGAGCAGCATTTTCCATATCTTCGAGACGATGATCACGAAGAAACGCACGACTACACACTCACATCTCAGCCTACCCACCAAGCTTCCACACTTCATCCCAATTCAAAGTACAGCTCTAACAGCAATAATAACACAATTGCCCAACAAGCATATTCAGGTAATGGCAAACCTCCCTTGGGCAAAACGGCGGTCGATCAATCGTCGAATCGTCATCCACCGGCCTCACCTTCCTCGAATGTTCCCAAGTCTTTGAGGTCTCTTTTCGAGGATGATGACGAAACTTCAAATCGTGATGATAACATATTTGAGGACCCACGTCTTCCCGCTTTGGCATCCGTAAAAGATTCCTACCGAACGGAATCCCCAACGATCGAGATTCCAGACATGGAAAGTTTGGCCATCATGTCCTCCACTAATAAGGAAGCACAGAGTTCCACACAAACCTCACATAATGGGTCAAGAATAGGGAATAAGCAGATGTCTCATGATGCATTGCCGATGCTAAACAAACCTCCAGCATTAGTTCATTCGCAATCGGCGTCTGCAGCCCTAGAGCCAAGACACGGCTCTCCATCAAATACCAGACCACGAAAGAAGACCATTTCCAATACCCATGGATCAAATTCAGCATTCCACCAATCTGCACCTTTGCTGCCTTTATCCCAAGGGCCGCATCAAGAGCCAGTTAAGAGGCACGAGACACCGTCGCCAGTTGCACCCCCGGTGAGCGCCCACGGTGAACATGGGCCCACTCTAAGTCCATCTAAGTCAATGCGTGCTCTCCATTCAAATGGCAATCCTATGCTACAGCCAATCAATTTCAAAATGAATGGTGAAAAGGCGTCGCAGCCCAGCAAGGAAAGCAGCACGAGCACAACGAATTCACTGGCGCCATCTGGCTCAAACCATGGCCAAGCTAAGTCAAAACGAGAAAAGCCCTCACTCAGAATTCAAATGCCCGTTCCCAATTCCTCAGTCAATCTCATGTCCGCGTTAACCAGCGAGGATGCGGAGAAAAAGGGTATACTCAACAATGCTTCCACGGGCCACATCAATTCCGAGAACATCAACCAATTTGGTATTAACCCTGCCCTTGTGGGTAACGTTACGTCAATGACTCCAGTCGCTGAAAAAGATACACAGCTTGGTGAGCCGTTAGATGTGAGAGACTTGCAACAGAGGCAACAGGCTTCCGTTCAGAAGAAAATTTCAGCAATGCTGGGGCCAAAAACTGCCCCCATAAGCTCTTCAAATGCTGGCGGAAACTATTTCGTTACAAGAAATCATCCCTCTCACTCGATCAGTGGAGGTTCAAGCATATCTGCAAGCACTACTCCAGTTAGTGCGAAGCAGCTTCCAAGATTCCCACAGATTCCCACAATCAACAATGACTTATTTAGTGATGCCTTTCCTAAAGCGAAATTGACCGGAGAATTGGAGCTGATTCTTAAACTTTTCAGCCAAGGCTTGGATGCCCTTGAAAGCAGCTTACAAGAGAGACAATCAAATAGTTAATTGAGCACATGATCTCAGTCACGTGTGTAAACATGATATAGAGTAAGTGAACTAGGTAGGTGAATCAAGAGTTCTTCTACATCTATCGCCATAAACTGTACAATATGCCACCTCGTATGAGACGCCGTATCACTACGGCTAAACGAGAAGAAATAGAGGCAGAGCAGAGGCTATTGGACAAACAGATCGTTCGTCCCTTCGAAACAGTTGAAGGTCTACCGATATCTTACAACAAACCACCACACGGTCATTATGAGGATGTTTTGAAAAATCCCCTCACTTTGAAGGATTCTGCTGTGTTATATAACTCGCTTATTAGATCGAGAAACACGTACGTGTTCCATGCGCCTATGTTCAAACTATATTGGGTGAAACAAACCGCCTATGCGAAGAAGTTGGCAGAATTGGAGAAAGGACCACAACCTGCAAAAGAAAGAGAAACGAGGCGTCGATTCGCCAAAGCCACTAGTAATTCACTTGAGGCAAAAACCAGGACGCCCATTTTAAGTGGGGACGTGAATGCAAGAGATGTCATGTCCAAGTTGTCCGAGGCCACTTTGTCCTTGGGACCTCACTCAATGGAGATCCGTATATTTATTGCTAAGGACGCCCGTTCTGAAAAATCAAAGGCCCTTTCTGAAATATCCCAAGTATCAGACGGCTCTGACTTACTTATGAGAAAAGAAGCCCTAGGACCGCCTCCAGGACCCATGCCTCAACCTATATATGGTCAGCCGCCAATGACTGCTCCACCTCCTCCCGGTCCTCTCCCGGGAGCTCCTCCTACTGCAGTACCAGCGCCCATGCCCACTCCTCCAACGCAACCCAGTCGCACAGATGAGCCTCCTGTGACAAGCGAGCCTCCCAAGAAGGATGATAATACAGAGAAACATGCCAATGATCAAAATCTGAAACCAAAAGACACGGAGGAGGAAAAGAAGAACGTCGAGGAAGAAGCTAGTGAAAAGACTGACGAAACCAAAAACAACGTCAAAGAGAAGGGTTCTCCCCAGAAGCGGACAAAAGGACCGGCAAGGGGTAAAGCGAAGGCTGCAAATGTCGAAGCGAAGCTGTCGAAAAAGGATTCAAAGGATGCAGAGACTAAAGAAAAGAACTCTGAGGAAGAAAAGAATAATGAATCGAAATCTTCAGATGACAATGAAGATTCGAAGAAACTGCCTGAGAAGAGCACTCCTTCAACAAATCAGAAACCGCCTCCTGCTTCATCCACGTCATCAGCCAGTCCTGCCCCCGCTCCCAACTCACAACCTAGTACTTCAACTCCTCCTTCCGGAGTTGCAACCGGTGGCTTCCCTCGTCCACCTCCACCTCGTGCCGTGGACATGACGACAGTTGATAATGCAATCATGATATCCAATCTTAACGCGATTGCGAAGATTGAACTTTCACTTAATGATCTTATGAAAGTTGTTGCTAAGGGTACGGCATCCGAGGATCAAATAAACTTGTTCAAGACATACATCGAGAAGGCGAAGCAAATGGGACCACAACCACATCATGCTGAACTTTACTTGGTAAGAGGTTTACCACTTCCACCTAACTTTCCACGACCATATCCTCCCAAGCAATATGCTATTCCACGCCCTCCCAAACCAAGATTCAACAACCCGTTGAAGCTTACAGCCTTCCAGGAGAAATATTTACACAACGCCACACTCGTTTTTGAGTTTCTTGAGAATCCAAACGTTAGATACGTGATCCCAAGGGATTCCATTTGCGAAATTCTCCCACCTGCTAATCCCATCACGTTAGAGGATGGCTCTGGTGTGAGGGATGTGCTTATAAGTAATATTTGGATACACAACATTGAAGATGTTGAGAACTATGAAAAGAAGCTTGCCGAGTATAATGAGGAGGTACGTGCTAAGGAGGAAGAGGAGAGAAAAAAGCGGGAAGAGGAAGAGAAGGCGCAGAAACAAGAAGACGAAGGTGAGAAGAAAGACGATGAGTCTCAAACCACAGAGACAATTAAGGAAGAACCAGAAGAATTGCCCGCACGATCATCAAGGAGTGGAAGGAGCAAGAGGGCCCCTCCCCCAAGGAGGAAAAAGCCTTTGGAGAAGCCTGAAGAGCCACCGGTTCGCTTCACGACTTACTCGTTCACTCTACATGGCATTCCTGAAAAGTTTGTTCCAATTGTGGTCAATAGTATGAGACCCATGAAACTCGTGCAAGAAAAAATGGAGAAGATTCTCAAGATTGGAACGCGTGTCAGCTCATTTCATCTTTGGTACCAGGTTGATGCCAAGTTAGATGAGGGAGTTGCAGAGGACTTGAGACAAAGTGTCATTCTGGAAGAGAAAAAGATGACTGGAGTGATGCCCCAAAGCATTGAGCGGGAGCAGCCAAAGAAACGTAAAAGGGAATTCAAAAACCCAAGGCCCAAGAAGCCTAAGGATGAGTCGCCCTCTGGTATGCCACCCCCACAGTTCGCAGGTGGCAGTGTTCCTTCTTCTGTATCTTCCACTGGCATCTCAAACTCAGCGCCAATACCGGCTGAGAAACCATTTACAGCATAAACCAGGAGTTTTGTCAAGTCTTAATAATCGTTTATATATATACAGGTAACGGACGTTTAAGATTTGTTCTTGGAGACCAAGCCCAACAAGTTCTCCAATGCTGCAGCATCTCTACTGTTTCTTTCAGAAAGGCTGCCAAAATTAGGGTTCGAGGCAACGTAGTTTGATCTGTTAGCGTACGATGGTCCACTCTCAGTTCTCTGGATCCAAGAACCCACTCTAACACCATCAGCGTACATTCTAACACCACCGTAGGGTGTGAGCTCGGCCTCGTTAACCTTGAACGGAAGCACAAATTGTCTAGCGTGCTTACCAGGCGCATTATTGATGAAGTTGTTTTGAAGAATGGTTGTTCTCTCGTTCACGGATGCAACGAAACCGCCAATAGCGGCTTCTCTATTATCAACAAGACGGCCAGGAGCAATAACCCCATGCTTAATACCATTTGGAGTATTATTAAGGCGGCCCTTCTGATTATATGAAAGACCTGCTGTACCTTGAACGGCCCTAGGGGATGCAGTTCTGGACGCCTTACCAAACTTTCTGGTCATGTCGGTTAAAGATGATGGGCGCTTGATGACATTTTCTGAAGAAGCAATGAACTCCTTCAAGAGCTGTTCTAGCTTGGCTGGGATTTTGAAGACAATCGATTCTGGAGATCTTTTGACCAACCACTGCTTGAATTGTTTCGCAAGAGCAGGGTTGGCTTTGAGGAGAGCCTTGACGTCACGCATATTCGACTTGGAGCCAAGGTTCAAGTCTGCCAACACACTGTCCGCCTCAGAAACAGACTTGTTGACACTTTTGGAGGTATCCCATGCAAAAAGAGGGTTGGCTTTGTTGGAAGGCTTCTTCAAGACAACACCAGATTCCTGGAACTTCAATCTGTTGTAGTGAGGACTCGAAAACTTCTCAACATCTGGGATATTGTTCGAAGTGTCCATGGCATTCATGACAAAATGAGACACTCCCACTTGTTTTGGCAAGGTTGACTTGATACCATATTCAGAGCGTGACGAACTGCCTTTAGGTGCAAAAAGGATTTGATGGGTTGGGGCAGCCAGATCGGCACCTCTGAGAGTTTTGCTCAAAGGGGTTGCTACCTGGGCAATCCTGGAGTCCTTGAATAGCTTATAAAATTGCTGATTTTTCATGCTCCTGGCCCTTGAAGAAATCGATCTTTTCAATTTCTCGCTCTTGATTTTTTCACTAGTCTGATGCACGGGTGTACACACTTCTGGGGCCTCTGGGTCGAGCTACAAGTACTGTCCTGGAGATAGGTATATTAAGATGCATAAGAGAAAGTGATGCCAAATTTGCTAAACTCTGGTGTGTTGCTCACAGGATTGATGTTAATTTTAACACCAGTGCTTACCAAGAACTCTTTGTAGCGTCCCACCCACAATAGTTTGAGCATTCTATCACTCAAGCTAGTGGAGGCTTTGATGACGGACGAAAAGTTACTCTCGCTAACTAGACTCTGGAATGCCGTCATTACAGTCTGGTTCTGAATTTCTTGCTCGCTTCGAAGACGGCTCAAATCTGAGGTTGTGAGCTCTCCTGCGTTTTGTGGAGGCATGGGATTCAAGATACTTCTACCCTCTGGAGGTCTGTAGGATGAGTTTGCTAGAGTCAAGCGTTCATTCAAGTTTGCTGTCAGTTGAAAAGGTGGCGCGAGACTATCATGATGAATGCTTGGGTCTGAGCGTCTGCGATTCGATTTTGGCGAAGGTTTGGAAAAATTATAGAGCTCGAAACCGATCGAAAGATTGCTTGCGTATGAGTACCAATTGAAATCATACTTTGAACAAACCGTCGAGGCAACAGACGTCTTGACGTTATATGTGGATGAAATATGTCCCAAGATAGGGTTGCATGAAAGAGTCATTGTGAGTGGTTTGCCCGTGGATGTGGACCGTGTCGAGTATCGAAATGCTGTTGAAAGCCCAGGACTCATCGTCATAGCAGCGTACCAAAATTCAGCACCCATTGATACTACTGAATTGTCGAATTTGGGTATCAACGGAGGAGATGCGGGGCGATTATTGCCAAAGTTATAGAGGCACCTAAACCCAAAAAGTGCCTCATTGGTAGAGTAAATGTATTCCTGGGAAAATCTTGGAGTGTTTCTCTGGAGATACATGATCATTGTACCATTTCTCTTCAAATTGGGGTTATTGACACATTTGATAAGGAGCTGTGTCTGTCTCGAGAGCTTCTTGATAAGCATAGCTTCAAGGACAGATCCTGGGAAGTACATTCGTCCGTAAAGCATCGAGGCCTTGTCGTTTCTCGGGCTCTTGTTTCGTTCAGAGATATGGTGGTATGGCTCTATTATGCGAAATCCAGCGATGGCGTCCTGTAACGAGATATCCCTTGTTCCCGTTGCATTTCGAAGTGGTACAGACGTGTACAAGTATGCTATGGAACCGTTGATAGACCCATAATTCAGGAGTGTAAGGGACAGCGCCAGGTAGTCTGATGCTCTAGACAGAACATCTAGTTTAGCGCCATTGGGGGTCTGGAAATCTAGAAGAGCTCTCGATGTTGCTGTGATGTTGTTGAAAATGTTATCTTCGTTCCAATTGGTAGCTTTGAAGAAGCATCTTTGTAGGTATTCCATGTGTGTGTACATCTGATGGAGAGTAGTTAACTGTTGGTTCAGTGCCAGTCCGCGCGCTAGTAGTACTTACGGTTGTAATCAGACAAACAAATGATCGAGAATGAATGCATATTTTATTTCTTGGTCTATAACTGTTCTTGTGATAGTTTATGGGTCTATGAATTTGGAAGCAGAGGAAGTGTTCTGAGGTTCTAACTTGAAAGAGTGGTGCCTCTGGACTTCTGAGTCGAGAGATCGTTCAAGTTTTCAATAAGGTCCTCAATTGCTGGAAACTGTGGTTTGATGTAGCCAGCTTTCTCTGCAACTGTCCGCATGGGCGCTTTCCCATCCTTCAATTCGGATTCATCAGTCATGTAGAAGATAAGAAACTCAACAACCTTGAAGTGTAGCGTTTGTTGGATATTTGCGAGCTCTCCGGCTACATTCTCGTCTTCAGGAGAGAGCTGTAGGAGTCTTATTATGGCCATACAGCCTCCACATGCCTCGAAGACCCGCATGTTCTTGAGGTTCCGCAACAATATGTGAATAAGTAAAGAAACGAAGGAAGCGCATCTCTCCAATGAATAAGCCGTGTTTTCCGGTTCTAGAAAACTTAAAATTAGCAGCATGTTAGCTTTCTTGCGGAAAATGTTCCTTGATTCCGGGTGAATCAATAGGAGCCCCATCATGGCAGTATTTAGCTGGTTCCATGTCGAAGTGTTTGTGTTCTCATGTCGAAGAGTTCTGTAAGCGGCTAAAAGCTCGTTGGCCAAATTATGCTGGAAATTTTCCTGTAGTGCTAGGAATGCTATTAGCTTCAGGTCTGTGGACCCTGAAGAATGCAGTTTTTGTATTGCTGGAGCTAATGATCTGAGCAACTGTTCGAGATCTTGTATGCCTTTTTCCACTACTTTAGGTTCCTCTGAGTTCAACTGTTCTATAACATTATCCACGGCTTTTCGTAATGCCATTTTGTTTATATCTGCCCGGGAGTATTTACGTTTTCGGTAGAGTACATACGCGATTGACAGGCGCAGTACCTGAACTTTATCAAGATAGTGTGCGCCAGGTTTCCGTCGGGCAGTGCTTTTTCTATATTTATTTCCCGCAAAGAATTCTATTACGCACTACCTTACAAAGTCCAAATCCTATTAAGATTCCGTTATGACAAAGGCCTCGGTAATCTGGGGCTGTACTGCTGCTGTTGTGCTGTCCGCAATCCAGTCCTTGGGTATTACCCTACAAAGAAAGAGTCATGTCATTCCTATTATGCTTGAACATAGAGACGATCTCGAGCTCGATAGCGCAGATCTGATAGATATCAGCATACCAATGGAAAACCGTGGCTCAACTTCCCAACAACCCCATCATGATTATGAGGCGGGCAGACACACGCATCTTTACAGGAGACACCTCTGGCTAATAGGATTCCTGATGTTTATTTTGGCCAACGTGTTTGGCTCAATAGTTCAGTTGACGACACTACCGCTCATTATTCTATCTCCATTGCAGAGTATAGGGCTAATTTTCAACTCCATTTTCAGCAGCATGCTCTTGCCGGGCGAGAGTTTCACGAATAAGCTTATATTGGGCACAGGTATCATATCTGTTGGTGCTTTTATCATCGCCTACAATGGAAGTGCTGATAGAGATCTGCTTGGTGATATCGACACAGACGAAAGATTCAGGCTTGTCTTGCAAAAGTTTCGGAGACCCACCTTCTTGGTGTGGTGGCTTTTCACATTTGCTGTCATTTTGGTTCTAATCAGGATAAACTTTGTTCTTTCAAGACGAATCCACCAGCTCTCATTGCACAAGAAGGGCAAGCGTATTTCTAGAAACAGCAAGAAGGCAGCCACACAACTTACTCTCCTCAAGGGTACCCTTTTTGGGGTGATTAGCGGGACTTTGACGGCCCATACATTTTTGTTCGCCAAATCAATTGTTGATGTTATGGTTGCGACCCTTATCGAGCGTGAAACACCGAAATCCCTGTCTACCTACGTAACTTCGGTGTTACTCCTTCTTGCCACACTCACCATTGTGGCCATGCAGCTCGTTGCTTTCAACTTGGGATTATCCCATATCTCGACTTCCATCTTATACCCATTATGCTTTTTGGTGTACAATTTGGTAAACTTGTTCAATGGTGTGTTGTACGATGAACTCCTTCTGAAAAACTTGATGACAATACCACAGCTCTTCCTTGTGGTACTAGGCTTGGTCGGCGTTCTATTGGGTGTTGTAATGATAAGTTGGGACAGTGCATTTGGGGTCCATGAGCCCCCAGTTAACGAGGACTCTGATGTGCTACTAAATGCAAAATTCCCATACTTCCAAGGGAACAACCAGCGCGTACTTTCTTACGAAGAGAACGAACTACTTAGACTGATACACTCAGCATAAATTATAAATATATCTGTCATTTATTTGCCAATGACAGGGAGCGCAATGGCGTTAGGCAAAAAGTATGAGTTTTGTTTGTTGGCGACTCCAGCGAAAGCACAATACCATCCACAACAAGCCAGTATAACACAGAGTATGCCTCCTCCTTTCAAACAGCTGGCACTACCTGTGAGATAGTGAGCAGCTAAGAGGAAAAATGCGATGTCCAAGGTCAAGAATAAGGACATGAAGATCAAAGTGGACTTGAGGGTACACATGAGCATCATGAAGCAAAAGATGCCCCATCCAATGAGGTAAAATCCGATACTACTGTTGAATTGCTCGACATCATCGCCATATGCGGCAGCAATGCCAAATGCTTCAACGTTGATAGCACCGAAACTGAGCCAGAATCCCATTCCAAAACTCACCAAGACTGTGCCGGCAAAGCAATTGCCTATAATAAGCTCCCAGATTCCAGCAAATGCTTCGACAAACCCACCATAAAAGAAGCACAATCCTACCGCAACATTTGGCTTCGTAATACCTTGAGCTCCGGCTAGGTACATCCCCAAAACGAAAGTGGTCAATGCGAATGAGGCGAGACCCAAAGCTGCCGCATTCCCGAATTGGTGTTTTGGGTACGGGGCGTACCTGTCAGGCATCAACCTTCCCCCGAATGCTGTCATAAGCTCATGGCGATAGTATCTTTTATTGCCCAAGATAATGAACTCGTCGCCCTCACCTGCGACTTGCACGGGTGCAAGTGGCGTGCTATCTTCTGAATTGATGTATTTTTCGGAACTCACTGAGGATGACATGGAGACGTTTAAGGAACCAGCAAACTTAGAAACTTGAGCATTATATATAATTTCGGTCTTATCTGAAATGGGTGCAAAAGGCGTTAAGCAAGACATGCATGTCCTCGCGCGATTCTGTGGGGTACCTTCTAGCAGCTAAGCCAGGCATATCAGCCCATGGCGAAACACCGAGATCTTTCATAATGCCTCTAGAGCTATCATCATAAATTCTCGAATTAATGCTCCTGATCTAGCTACATCAGATAATTTACTAGCTTAATTGGACTTTGTGTATCGCCGAAGCTTCACGTGACCTTCTAACCCCGACCTCTAATTATTTTATCCAAATTTCAGATAACACAAGCCTCCCTTTCTCCAAAAGTGGTGATCGCCAAAAAAATAAAAAGCATCTTTATTCTTTTACTGACACCCCGCCAAGGAGCCACCCTCGAGGAATTCCCGCCGGACCTCCACCACAGACTAAAACCGAACTTTTGACGCCTCGTTATGTGGAGAGTCGGTCTTACACATCGAACCCTTTGATTACGTTTTTAGTTGTTGTTAGTAGTGTTGGCCGAGTGGGGCTCGGCATTAAGGATGTGACAGCTTAGTCTCAAACCGACTCTCAAATATCTCGATGACAAGCTCTAGCGTACTGTCCACATGATTTATCTATTAAATGCTACTCCGTCGATTTACCTTAAGCTCATGTTTCGTGGCCGCTGGGATAAATAGCTATCGCTTCTTTCCAATCAAAGTAATTCTCAAATGGTTCCAAGGGCCTGGATCAAAAACTCATAGGCAGAGATTGATCTGATTTTTTCGGGCAAATGGCAATCATATAGATTTTCTAGGTACATGGCAAAAATGATGATCGATTTTTCATGACGATGGCTGCAAAATAGACACCTCGTTGCATTGATGGTGCATATTTCCTGCATCAGCTCGCTCCATCGCCATATCAACCACCATCAAGGCTACACATACTATGGCTCTAGTCCCATACCGCTCTAATCATGACCTCATAAAACTACGGCGATTGCTCTTTCATGATAACGCAACCAATAAGCGTTTGGGCCTTGAAAAGGTGAAGATGTATCTGAGTCGAGGAAAGGTACCTCACGCGGTGAACGCTACAGCTTCCTTAGTATCCCTCGAATTGATGGGGATTACTGAGTCTGAATGCCTTCAGCAAGCTTATTGCTCATGTTTGACACGAATAGTCAATGGCCTTCTCGATCCATTCCAGCTGGCATCCGTTGCGCTACCCCTACTGAAGCTAGCTAAAGAGATAGGCCTTCCATCGTCTTTTGTGGAGATACGCCATATGGCGACCCACGAGGATCTACCGTCGTTGGATCATTTGAGACTCATTGCTGCGGAGGCTAAGGAATGGCTATTAGTGAATTACTGGGATCATGTTGTCGAGAGCGCAGCTCTTGTGCCCGAAAGAGACCGTCATCAAACATTCACATCATCCAATACAACTGCAAATCTAAGGGTCTACAAAAAGCTTAGGAAACAGGCTCTTGATATGGATGCAGAGTCGAAAGATGAAGGACATTCCAGAAATCTCAATGCTGTCATTCACAAGCTCAAGTCCGATCTTCAACGCTCTGCTCAGCGTCAGAAACTACTCCGAGACTTGATTTTTAATTGCCTCATATACACCGACAAGAGAAACAGAGATGTGCTGAAGCGAACAAAGTTCAAGACCCTTATCAAGATTTACTGGCCACTCCTAGAAGAACTAGGCCGTGAGTTCCAGGCTTCCCTTCTCTTTGCGCTCATTCAACACAGCTCAGGACGATTAAGTGTCTCATTAACAACACAGGAAGAAGAACAAGCTATCCCATGGGTGCAACATCTCATTGAGCAGCTTGTTACTGGCCAATTCCCCATCAGCTCGCGGCTTCATGATGTGGAGGCACTACAGGACAGTATCCAGACTCACATGAGCCTTTTAAAAGACAATTCGGTCCTATTTAAAGCAATTTCATCTGCGGCAACCGAGGAACCTCCTCAAAAACATACTTTCAGAATGCCACCTTCTCTCGATGATCTTCTAGGTTCACCAAAGCGCCAAAAAGTGAGCGAACTGCCCACTCCGCAGCCAGAAGCCTTGCATACCACACAAATAGAAACCCCGGAGTCATTTTTTCCTTCGCATCCAAATTGGGCTCCTCGACCCTTTGGATATAGAATGAAATAATTTTTTTTCATATTATTTATCGCAATGTCAACAGGCTTTCAATATTTACCAGTTGCTTCTTTCGCATTATCCCTGTGCCATTATCGCAGCATTCCATACGTAGGTAGTCTTATCTAATCGCGCACACACAGAGCCACTATTCAAGCACCACACCAATCCATACTCTTGAAAGCACGTTACTTCCAGGATGTCTCCGCAATGGATGCCGCAAAATCTACAAAAGCGGTTGCTTCTATATATCCTCCAACAACTCCTGTTGTTCTCGGAGATTGATCTCCCTAACTTGGAGGAGGTGTCTCTAAGCAATATCCAGCTTAAGGATGTATCTCTTGATCCAGAGAAGGTGGGTAAACTACCGGGCTTTACGCTACGATTTGGTGAGCTCAAGACTGTGGAAGTCAAAGGCGGTGTCGTTGGTGGTGTGAATCTTAACATTACCGGAGTTGAAGTCGTATTGGCCACCAAGATAGATGATCTCGATAAGGAACTCAAGAACATGCTGGCACTGTTGGCACAAAGCACCGTTAACTTGGCTAACACTGTCATGTTTGAAAGCGATCTTCGAGACAGCTCCTCGGTCGTTCCGGAATCTGAATCGGATTCGGACACTGAGTCCAAGCCGAGCTCCAGCGGGTCTGGGGAATCACTTGGTTCTCAAACACGTTCTAGTGCTTTAGGGGGCGTAATGTCTAGAGCATTGGAGATTGCATTGCTGAGGTTGCAGGTCAACATAGCTGATGTCAACATCAAAATCATGTCGGACTCGGTTGACTTTTTGATCTCTGTCAAGAATATTTCCTTCTCGACCACTAATAGACAACACTCAGTTAAGGTCGAGTCATTGAAGGTTTCAACACTCCGACCAGATTTAGATCCAGGTCATGGAGTGGAACGTGCACCGGAAGTGAGCGCCTCAGACTCGGAGAGTGAACAAGATGAAAGAAGCAGTGAAGACGACTCTGCTGACGAGTCCTTGATGAGCAGTACAGTCTTCACTCATGAAGAAGCAAGTTCAGTTTACATGAGTGCAACTGCTCAATCGTTCAAGCCTCCCGAGGTCCCTGCTAATGATTCTTCAGTCAAACCCGTTCATCTCCTCTACGTGGATGAAGTGGATCTCAACTTTGAGGGAATGTCTCCCTTGACCAATCTTCAAATTGACGTCGGAACCTTACGTTTAGCGGCAGTCCCCTTAACACCCACCATTTCTTTATTGGTTAACAGCATATCCAAGGTCATGAAGCTCAAAAGTCACCAACTCCGCAAGCAGCACGCTACGACTCGCTCTTCTGCTCGAAATGCAAGCCGGCCTTCTTCGAGCCTTTCTAATGCCAGTCTGGAGGAGGTCCTGGATCTGGCGGGATCTCCTCAACCTCAGCATGAAGCTCTCTTTGAAAAACTACATGTCGCAGAGCTTCTCCTCAACCTAACCCTGGCCATTGATGACAATGGCGAGTTTGCATCCGAGGAAGATGAATTGATACTTGCAGCATACAACACAAACGTTAAGCTGAAGAATGAGGCCCTTGTTTTTGGTGGGATCGAGACATTCAAAATCCTTAAACTTATAGGCGGCTTGCAAACTGAAATCTTCCATTTTGTTGCGGAAAAGCCGAACTCTCGTTCATCATCAGTCTCTATTGATGCGGAATCATCAACATCAGGTATTCAGCATACGCGAGCAGACATTCGCTTCGAATATTTCAGACCAGAAGCCGGTGATGAATCTCCAGAGACGACAGTGTTGCTATCAAAGCTAGCACAATTCGAGCTTGATGCAGATTCGTTGCTGTATATCCTCAACTTTTCAGAAGCTTCTCAAGCTCTCCTCGAGAATTTGGGTACATTATTCACAAGCCTACGACAATTGCGAGATGCAAAATGTTTGGGCATAAGGAATCATCCACCGAACGATGATACATCATCACAGCCGTCTCATTTTGTGCTTCAGACTTCGTCGATTCATTTTGATATACTGATCTCCTCGAGGGCCTCATTTGCTTGCAAGATATTCCCGGTCACCTTCAACACTTCTGCTGGCAATTTGAGCATTCAACGCATCTTCATAGAGTCTATCGTGGAGGGGCAAACTCGTCACTTTTTGACAATACCAAACATCAATTTCAAAACTAGTACAGAGAATTTGTCGATGTATTTCGGTTCACAATCGACCTCTCACTTGCGCAAAGAGCGATACTTCTGTTCAAAGAATCTCCATATCGGTGAGATTGTTGGATCAATGACTGCGGAAGATATGAATGTCTTCAAGAGGGATTTTAAGGCTTTTAGTCTGACATTAAAGTCTCGTGATACTAAGGTCAACGCATTAGATGTCTCACTAAAAAATTTAGTCACCACGAAAGATAGCAGGCTACCCACTTCCCTCGGCCACCTGATGTTCGTGGGTCAAAGGCGTTTTGGAAAGCATCAACCTAAACCAATGTTTCGCCATAGTGAGATGAAACATAAGGCTTCGCTCAGTCTTCACGTCACAAGTTTCGAATTCACGCTATTGAGTTTATTTCCTCGTTTTGGTGACTTAATGCTTGTGGTGAATGAGCTTGCATTTATGAAAATTAGTGGAGCGTTTAATGGTTTTGTGGGAAATATTGAAGCTGTCCGCAAACAAGAACAAGCGAAAGTGAGAGAGTCTTTGCTTAATCGTTTTCCGGACACTGGCCCAGTTATCGTCTTGAGTTACGACAGTTCTGAAAAAGGAAGCGCTATTGATTTTGTGATTCGAAAAGTTATCGTTCATTACTACACGCATTGGATTCAGCTTTTTGAGAGAAATGTATCTCAAACCCACAAGACTGAAGGCTTTGTTCACGCAGCCACCCCATCGGGTGGAGCTGATCAACAAAATAAAGTGGACCTCAGGTTTTCGTTTTGGGACCTTATTATTTCACTCAATCCAGGTAGGCTTTCCAGCCAAGTTCAATTAGCCACTGAGAGAGCCGTCTGTGACTTCACATTTGCGAGGGAGCAATTTTACGTGAAAAGTTCCTTTAGAAATGTTGCATTGTTCTTGATTGATGATTGGAGAAATCTTATCCATGATGAGACTTCGACCGAACTGAAGTCAGAGATTTCGGCAGGGCAATGGTTAAAATATCGAGGATACCTACGTTGTGGTCATGCAAACTCGACTCACGTTGGAATCACTGTTAACACAGATATTGATAGCCTTAAAGCAAGGCACGAGAAACTTGGAATACGTGGTGACATTTCTCTTCTCGATATCAAGCTCAATTCGGACGAACATCTTCTTGAACTCTGCGCAGATTCTTATCAAACGTTGATCCAGCTGTTGAACGATTTGAAGGTGCCCGTTACATTCAAAGACGCCGAGAAGTTTCGGTATAAAGTGGATTCACCTTTCTCAATGCCTAATGAATTATTAGAACAGTTGAAAGATCTTCAACTTGAGAAGCCAAGTGATACCTGTGCTAAATCACCAGCTCATTCAAGAAGGGATTCGTCTGATCTCAAGAATCTTGAACGGTCCATTTCTGATCTTAAAATGGAAGAAGCTAGTGAAGGTACAGGCGCCTCTATATCTTTCATGGATGAGCACTTTCGTGACGAAAATCACGCCTCACACGCCAGAATTCTTCCTATGAGCTTGATCGTTAATTTGACAAAAGCAAACATCTACCTCTTTGATGGGTACGATTGGAAGCTGACGAGGAAATCTTTAAGACAAGCAGTAAAGAACATGGAGAAAAAAATCAATGCTATTCGCTTAAAGAAGAAGTCTGATGATGAGAAAAGTGGTCACAAAGGCCATGATGCTTCTGCAGCAAAGGTCGCCGGTGAGGTAAATTCACAATGCAACGCCTCAGATAGTAATTCAGCTGCCCCAGATGAAGAGGCTGATGAAGTCAACGAGGTTTTATTTCAGTCGATTTACCTTGGCATGCCTGGAGATGGCACCGCTAGTAATTTGGTTACAAGTATGAACACTGAGATGCAAGCCATTAACATGGAAACTGCCAAAGATGAAGCGTTGTATCCCAGCCTCAATGTTGATGTTGAAAAGCAGTATAAAGACTTGAAGCTCAAGAGATCAAGGATTCATAAAGTGTGGGCCGACATTGAGAACGTCGAAGTTTATGTTCAAAACTACACCAATCGAGACCCAAGAGTCGACAAAACGCCTGAGGACATTGATAAAGAGATGGTGAATAAGGTCGAGATAACACTAGATTCCTTAACTATTTTTGACAATGTACCTTCATCATCATGGAACAAATTTCTCACATACATGAATGCCATTGGTGAGCGAGAAGTGGGAACTTACATGCTACAGTTCACCATGATGAACGTGAGACCAGATCCCAAATTGCCATTTACTGAGGTCGTGATGGACATCAAAACGTTGCCTTTGCGTCTATACGTGGACCAGGATACACTCATGTTCTTGGGAAGATTTTTCCAATTCAAAGACAACCGATTCAATTTGCCGGTAGACGAGCCTATCTTTGTTCAAAGGCTCGATATCAGCCCAATTAGATTAAAGTTTGACTACAAGCCAAAGTCAATGAATTATTCGGGATTTAGAGCGGGCCAAAACGCTGAATTAGCGAACCTCTTCATCCTTGATTCGGCAGATTTGAAGCTTGCTAAGACAAAGTTATATGGAATTTTGGGATTCCCCAATTTGGGAGAGGCTCTTAAGGAGGCTTACGTACCTTATATTCAGAAGTATCAATTGGCCGGGCTTTTATCGGGCCTAGCTCCGATCAAGTCCATCATCAATATTGGTGAGGGGTTCAGGAACCTTGTCGCAATACCTTTCCAAGAGTACAAAAACAATGGCCAGGTGATGAAAAGTATCCAGAAGAGCTCAAAGTCATTGACCAAAACGACAGCTTCCGAGCTATTGAAGCTTGCTGTTAAGTTAGCTTCCGGAACCCAAAACGTTCTTGAAAGTCTGGAAAAGTACGTTGGTGGAGAAGGCAATCGGGCAAGGGATCCCACGAATCCAAACCTGTGTTCAAAGAAATTGAGGAGAAATTCCAATGAATTTAGTACGCTTCAGCAACATGATGAAAAACGGGATCTAATGCAAGCGTCTCAATTGTTGAAGAAAAGTGTTCCTCTTGATGACAATTCCACTGAGGATCGCAAGCTCTACTCGGTCATGCTGATGGATGACTTGTATGAAGAGGACGACCTGGACCTGGATGGGATGGAAGGATCGGTATTGGTCCTTGACTCAAAAACAAAGGACGGCAAGGAAGCCGAGGATGATTCCGACGACGAATTGGATGAAGAGGAGCTTGAGATTGCTGAGAAGATTGTCAGTCTCTATTCTAATCAACCAACTACTACACGAGAGGGTTTACAATTTGCATACAAAGCGCTCGGCAAGAACTTGAAAACCACCAAAAGATCCCTATCAGGTTTAACGCACGAGCTCAAGAATGCAGAGAATCTCCAGGAGCAGTTATCTTCGATAGCACGGAAATCTCCGGCCATTGTGATAAGACCTATGATAGGCACGACCGAGGCAATAATGAAGACGTTGATGGGAATAAGTAACGAGATTGATCCGACATATGTGGTGGAGAATGAAGACAAATACGGAAAGGACAATTGATAAGAATTGCTCCCACTGCGTCCCACTTTGATAGCCAGATCCACGGCAGCACAGGGCGCCGCGGCATCTCAGGGCGTCCCGGTCGTGCATCTCGTCTGCGCTAGTGCCTCACAAGGCATCAGGTGTGATGCACAAATCTTGCATTTCTTGGTGGTCCGACGGCTCTCGCATGTTCGGAATTCCTCGTCGTTTATGATGTTCTGGCCTAGGGCTGAAAATTTGAAAAGCGGAACGGAAATTTAGTGTTGGTTTGCTGTTCAATTTTGCCGAGCTAAGGGTCCTGCCTTGTAATAGAGGGGCACCTACGCACAGATGCCGCTTATGCTGCGCAGAGTGGAGGCAAGACAAGGCGTTCAGGACAAAAAAAATGGGGCAAAATGGTCGGTCCTGCATCAATGATGCGTTAAGATGCCATAGAAGGAGCTTTTCGATGGAGCGCGGATTAAAGCCGAGTGTCCTCCTGCCGGACTTTTGCAAGACCGTTACTTTGTGAAAGTGGAGAAGGGTTGTAGCGGAAGTGTCACGGAATGTGACTATCACTTTCTCCGCCAAGATTTGAAGGCATCGCGACTTCACGACAGGCAACTGGTTGTAGCCACGCGAAAAAAGAAACTTTTATTCATTGTGCGCATTGATAAGAGCTTTTTTGTGCGTTTTTGGAAGCCTCTCAGAGAAATTTTTGCTGCAACATCCACTCTAATCTGGGCATGGCCTTATAAGAGTTCTTTTTTCCAACTTGGCAATTCATTCTTTGTGTTTTTACCTAACATCGCTTCACTCTCTATAGCAGCGTTTCAGCCGTATTTGCTTAGCATCAATACATTTTAGCATGGCCTCTAACATCGAGGCTCAGAAGTCTCCCATAACAGGGGACATCGAGGAACAGAAGGAAGCTGAAGTCAATTTCGAAGACCACAGTGACCCTTCTGTTTCGGAAAAAGCATCATCAAACACCCTCACAAGATGGAAGAGAATGAAGTCCAGATTTCCATACTGGAGACTCCTCATTGACACGTTGGTTGGTTGTTTCTTTACTGGTTGGTGGCTTTCCATCATAATTCAAGATGAACACAGAGGCAAATGGTTGATTCCCACCGTTCTTTGGGGTATGCTTATGGTTCGTTTGATTTCATGGCACTGCAGAATCTTGTACGTGATGTTCCATTACGCTGCCAAGGTATGGAATTTCTTCACTGACATCGTCTATGCGAGAATCCTCACCACTAGACCTAGAAGATTGATGGTTGGCGCTACCATCACAATCGGTACCATGTTGCTTGGTACTTTTGTCCCTGAGGAAATCGAGTTTTCAAAAAGAGAGGATAGAGCGATCTCCTTCTGTGGTATCCTTGTGGCTGTCGGTGGTTTATGGGCCACATCTAAACATAGAACTAAGATTCAGTGGAACGCAGTCATTGGTGGTGTTTTGATGCAATACATCATTGGTCTTTTCGTGTTGCGTACCAAGGCCGGTTACGACATTTTCAACTTTATCTCCACCTTGGCTAGAGAGTTGTTAGGTTTCGCTAAGGATGGTGTGGCGTTCTTGACCAACGAGGAAACCTCCCAGATTGGTATGTTCTTCTTCACCGTCTTGCCTGCCGTGGCCTTCTTCGTCGCTTTCGTTCACATCTTCTATTACTACGGTATCATCCAGTGGTTCATTGGCAAGTTTGCCAAATTTTTCTTCTGGACTCTCCGTATCTCTGGTGCGGAGGCCATCACGGCTTCTGCTTCTCCTTTCATTGGAATTGGTGAGTCGGCCATTTTGATTAAGGATTTGTTACCACTTCTTACCCAAGCTGAATTGCACCAGGTCATGACCTCTGGTTTTGGTACAATTTCTGGAGCTGTGTTGGTTGGTTATATTGGTTTGGGTTTGAACGCTCAGGCATTGGTGTCTTCTTGTATCATGTCTATCCCGGGCTCAATTGCAGTCTCCAAATTGAGATTCCCTGAGACTGAGGTCCCTGTCTCGAGAGGAACTGTTGTTTTCCCTGAGGAAACTGATCCTAACAAGAAGCCTCAAAATGTCCTTCAGTCCTTTTCTGAAGGTGCAACCTTGGGTCTTTACACTGCCGCCACTATGTTGGTGCAATGTATGTGTATTATTGCCCTTGTGGCATTGTTGAACGGTCTTTTGACCTGGTTTGGTAACTTCTGGAACATTAATGAATTGACCTTGGACTTGATCTTTGGTTACATCTTCTATCCAGCAACATTCTTCCTTGGTGTTCCAAGAAACGAAATTCTTGACATTTCGAAGTTGATTTCTGTGAAATTCATGCAAAACGAGTACATGGCTTATTCCATGTTGGTTAACGAGGCCCCTTACAACCAGTTGTCTCAAAGAGGTAACTTGATTGCCACCTACGCTCTTTGCGGTTTTGCCAACTTCGGTTCCATGGGTATCACTCTTGGTGTTTTGAACACTTTGAGTAAGGGCAAGAGATCCTCCGACATTTCGAGGGAAATTTGGTCTGCCTTGTTCAGTGGTTTCATTGTCACCATGATGTCATCTTGTGTGGCTGGTATGGTCATTCATGACTTGAGTGGTTTCTAAGCGTCTCAAGATCGAAGACGACTAATTTTTTAACGATTTATACGACCTTGAATGTAACCTTGTAAAGTGAGTCGGCTAAAGGTAGTCAGTAAAGTTAATCCAATTTTATTTGATGGATTCATCTAAAATTCTGTGGGCTATTTTTAAGTAAATTAAGCAGCAGTTGTGAGTTACATCAATCAAGATCTGTATGCATTTAAATGGTTAGAAAAGTAAAAACTAATTTGTAAATTTCTGCGAAATCAAGTTATGAATCATACATTTTGAGTGCGGAGTGGTATATTTGATCAACCTTGCGAAACGCCATTCACCATATAAATACACGTTTACAATTTCTGTTCCTTAAAAAGATGAAACCATATTGTTTGCCCCTTAAATATGACTTTGGATTCATTTTTTAATTAGTAGATCCCGTCTTACTTTGCCACTGATAAGGACAGCCAGGTGCACGGAGGTGAGATCTCACTATCCATTTGGTGCTTTCTGCGTACGTCTCTGTTACCGAACAACGCCGCAACTTATCACCAATGTCAAGCGGGAACGCCAATGTTCAACAATGCTTAAGCAATATACGGCTTCATACAAAAAATATGAAGGATAGCCTCGCAGAGGGCCACCTTCTCCCAGCATTGAAGTATTGCCTGAATTTCCTCAATGAATTGAGAACGTCTCAGCTTTCTCCCAAGGAATACTACGAATTGTACATTGCGGTCTTCGATTCCTTGGAGTATCTTTCAACATATCTCAAACAATCGCATGAACGGAAGCAATTGAAGAAGGATGACCCTCCATTCTTGGCGGATCTCTACGAATTGGTTCAGTACCTGGGCAACATCGTCCCCAGGTTATATATGATGATTGTTATTGGAACGACGTATATGTCGACCAATAGTGAAAGTACGAAGGAGATCATGAAGGACATGATTGAGATGTGTAAGGGAGTCCAACACCCGATCAGAGGTCTTTTTCTAAGGAACTACTTATCGCAAAGGTCAAAGGATCTTCTACCAATTGAAACAGAAGAGGATTTTGAAGACACTGTGGATTTTCTCATGACAAACTTCATTGAGATGAACAAACTTTGGGTCAGGCTTCAACATCAAGGACACTCAAGCGAGCGGGAACTTAGATATAGGGAGAGGAAAGAACTAAAAGTTCTAGTTGGTTCCAACTTGGTTCGTCTTTCGCAGGCAATAGATGACTTCCCAACTGAGGAAAAAGATTTTGGTGAGAATTACTACAAAGAAACAATTTATCCTATCGTCACAGAGCAAATCATCCAATGCAAGGATCATCTTGCACAAAGTTACCTTATAGATGTGTTGATCCAGATTTTTCCAGACAACTTCCACTTTGTCACAATTGATGATTTACTTAATAATGTGTTTTTAAAACTACACCCAGCTTTGCAAAAGTCAGAGTTGGTCTCGAATTTGGTTGATCGCTTTGTAACAAATCTCATCTACGAGTCTGATCTAAGCGAAGCCACAAAAAAGACTGAAAATCTTGGAAAAGGAGGCGAGTCAAGTACACCTGAACCGTATGTCAACGTTGAGCTGGTTTTTGAATCATTCTGGGAATTCTACGACAACCTCTCTCAGTTGCAACCTTCCGTTCCATCGGAGGAGATGTGTTTGATTCTTCGGTCAATGATCAAACTCACACTCAACTTCCAACCTGAAAACTACTCCAACCTCAATAAAATCTTTGAATTTGCGATGCAAACCTTGAAGAAGCGGAATACTGGAGACGAAGAGACCAACGACAGGTCTGAATCGAGCTTGTGGTACGAGCTTCTTGTTGAACCTATCAATGAGCTGAAATCAATAAAGAGCTTACTTCAATTGGAAAACTTCAAGCAACTTTACGACCAGATCCCAGACCCACACTTCAAAAGGCAGCTTTCACTTGTTATCATTAACAAACTTCTTGATCTGCCTGAGTTCGGTACCATGAAAAGTATCGAGGAAATCGATGACGTTTTCGCTTACTTTGTTGTTCTCATTGAAGAGCAAGACTCTAAGGTAGATACTCAGAAGGATTTGGGTATCAAAAAGTCCATTAAGCTTGAAGGAGGAGAAAAGGTTGTCAGCGAAGACTTCTTGCAAAGACAAGAAAAGGTTTGCAAGTGTTTACATTTGGTATCCCATGCTGATGCTACAGATGCTTTGTCTAGCCTTTTTTACATCAAAAAGAAATTCTTGAGCAGATGTCCCGAAAACATCATCTACACTTATCCAACTTTGATTTCCATGATAACTAACCTTTTGCGTCTTGCAGGATACAAGAATGCAAGGAGAAGATCAAAGGACCCAGAAGCTAGAGCCCAACTAGACCAGCTGGTTACCTACAACTTCAAGAATTTGTCAGTGGTTATCGAGGAACTTTATCAGCATCATCAAACGTACTACTCGGATTTGGTTCTCAAGTTGTACCTCAATGCGGCCACTATAGCAGACCAATTGCAACAAGAAACCGTTGCATATGAGCTTTTTCATCAAAGTTTCGTCATCTACGAGGAGAATCTCTCTGTCAGCAAACCCGTGAAAAATGCACCAAGTCCCCAAGACCCGATGGGTGGATCAGTCTCATATCAGCTGGTTTTAGCTATTGCAAATGCTTTGGCGAATCTGCGCTATTTCAGTAAGGAAAACTACGAGTCATTAATTACCAAGGTCACTCTCTATGGCTCCAAGTTGCTTAAGAAGCAGGATCAGTGCCGTGCCATCTATAACTGCGCTCATTTGTGGTGGTGGTGCGACTCGTTGATCGAGGGGCAGTCACCCACAGTTATTGTCGAGGATGGCACGGATGATGCACAAGCTGCTAAAGATGCCAACGGGGAAGGGAATCAGGAGCAGGAGAATAAAAATGGTGAAAGCGAGAAAGACGACGATCATTCTGATGCCGAGATCGAGACACAGCTCTACAGAGATGGCAAAAGGGTTCTTGAATGTCTTCAGAAAGCACTCCGTGTTGCCGACTCGAGCATGGATCCTTTCCTCCTGTTGAAGCTTTTCGTCGAAATCCTCAATCGCTGCATCGTCTTTAACATCTACGGTAATTGGTACATTGACGCGCGGTACATCAACGGGCTTATCGACTTGATTCGCAATAATTTAGCCAACCTCCAAGGTCAAGATTCTTCCCGCACAGAAGATGACAGAGAGACGAGGCTCTATCGCTTGATTGAAGTCTATTTTGATCGTACCTTGGAGCATGTTGCCGACCAGCAGCAGAGCGAGGGACGCCTCGAGGGAGTTGTTGTATAGTACATTGGTCTATTTTCCGTGTCAACACGCACATGCCTGCGAAATGTAGATTTGACGTATGCTTAAGCGAGGTTTTCGCGACATTTGCGCCACCCCCCTGCACCACACCGTTTTAATCAGTGATAAGAAGGAAGCCACCACCTCCACGCGTCTGAACGGCATTGCGTTTTTCCTGGAATTTAAGCGAGTTGCAACGGAAACGTAAACATGAGTAAGCATCTTGCCCGTGATAGTTCCGTGTGGAATAGGCTTATATATGGCCTGTCCCGGGTCCCACTCAATGTGGACCACGAACAATCGATTTCGGAGAAAGAGGTGGAAAAGGACGAGAAGAAGCCAATGAATTTCAGACTTGTTGTTTTATATGCCTGGATGGCAATTACAACGGTGTTTGCGTTGTACGAGGTGCTGAAGTTTTCTCTTCCCTCCAGCCTCAACCCAAGCCTCATATCAGGTGCCAATGGCATATCAAAGCCGAAGGTCGGTCTTAGTTCTAAGGCTGGTGTTTTGTTTGCCAACAAGGAACCTTCAAACGAGATCATTGAGGTCTCCTATCCCTTCGTTCCTAGCGAGAGATATGGGCAGTCATTGCACACCCAACTCTTGGTGAATGACACTTTCGACCTGTGGGGGCACCCACTGTTTACCCAATACTCTCCACCAGATGTCGAATTCAATAGAGTGGTTTTGACATTACATGTGAATATCACTGGTATTCAATATGATAGATTGGGCCATCTCTTTGTTGGCGGCGCAGAAGTGTGGAGAACCAGTACCATTGAGCCAGGCGGATCACTTGTCTTCTCTGTTTTCAGTAAAGACGTTTCGAAGTATCTTGCTCTCTTCAAGGAAGAAAGCGATGTCTTATTCCAATTGGATAATGTTGTCACTGACCGCTACACTGGAAAGCCTCACGTCGAATTGTATGCTGACTACTACTATGACGCAACCGCCGCTTCAGATGCAGAGTTTGGCCAGGTGCTTGTGAACGCTGCTTCCTCTGATCCCAGATACCAGTATTTCGACATTAGAAAGCCTGCTGATAAGGTATACCCATTGATAAAGGAGAAAGATCCCAAGACACCCCCTATCACGACGCTTTCCGGGGAGGAACGCCTCACCATCCAGTTACCCCAGGTTTCAAAAAACACAACAAGGTTGCAGTTGGATATCTTTGCCAGTGGAAATGGAGACGAGGAATTCTGGTACACCAACGTGTTGGACAAGTACAAGGACGTTTTTGGATCTGACGACGGTTTGTTAGGACATGGTCCCTTGCGAATCGTTAATGTATTCTTTGATGGCGAAAAGATTGCTTCACAAACTCAACAGCCATTCATTTTCACGGGTGGTATCTCGCCTTCTTTCTGGTCGCCTATCGTTGCAATTAATGCTTTTGACCTTCCCAGCATCAATGTTGATGTCTCTGGATTATTACCGTTATTATGGGAAGGAGGCAACCATACTATATCTTTTGATGTTAGTAATGGGCTCGATGAAGTGGATGGAGGTCACTCTGGTGTTGGCAATGGCTGGATTACTGGTGTCAACTTGTTGACCTACGAAAACAAGGATGTGGTTCAAGCAACGGGCCAGATCTTGCACATCGGTAACAGAACAAGAGGAAACCTGATCTCCTTTGGACGCAAGACTTTTTTGCTGCAAATCGTAAACGGTATTTTGGATAGTCAATTGACCAGTGAACTCACATTGCAGCTTGCCAACGGCCAAGAGTTGAGTACTGTGGCCAGTCTGTTCAGCAAGGGAGAGATTTCAAACGTTCAGCAGTATCTCAACCTGGGAAACAAGCAAACTGTTGTCCACACTGGCCATAATGCTAAGTCGTTCATTCTTCTGAACAAGTATGACCTTGAGGACAGAATCCACCAAACCAATGTCTCTTTGAGTTATCCATTGGTGCTCGACTACAACCAGAATGGTACTAATAATGCTTATGACTTGGACGTTTCCATCGTTTATTCTGTCGCCACGACATTGGATATTGATGACCACAGAGTCATGGCGAGTGCCATTGGACAAAATGCAACTTCCGTATTTTACTTGAGACCAAGTGGTAATCATGGAGACGCAAAAATGACTACTAGATATAGCATTCAGGTGAGTGGACCCACCAAAGACTTTACTTATAAGCGGAGAGTTGACGCTGATCACGGAAGTATCACCTATGATCAAGACAATTATGAGGAGAACACCAGCGATTGGTCTGAGATCGACCAGCTTATCGAGGAGTTGGCCAGCATCAATGGAACTGACCATGGTCCACTCCCCGAACTTCCAACTGTATGGTAACATTATAATACATAACTCTATAAGATTTAACCAAAGCCGGCCCACTCAATCGAGAAAGTCTTTTCAGAATGCTCCTTCTCCTCCAGTGGGGACATGAGTACCCACGCTTTCTTGACAGCCGTCGCCAAACGTCCCCCCGTGACCAAATCTATTAGTTTAACGTCTTCCTTTTGCCCTACACATTTGACAATCAAATGTGAGTGGAATCTCAATGGGTCTCCAGGGTAACTGACAAACGTGCCGCCAAAACGTAGGCCAGGCATAATGTAATGATCTATTGAGCGAAGTTTCGAGAAAGCTTCATACTTTTCAGCGAACCGGTCTTCAATGGTAGTCTGGCGGGCCAAAAATTCCTCTCTGCTTACCACAAACTTGGAGGCATCAAGCCCGATCTCGTTTGGCAGCTCATTTGGAGTTATGACGTAATGTGAGTTGGAGGACCCTGCCAAACGAACGATAGAGCCCTCGTTCATCTGTGCCGGTGTTGACTCTTCCGTAAGCTGATCGTGAAAAGCCTTATTATCTATGAGAATGGCATGACCATTGTCGATAAGCCAGAGTACCTCGTAGATGCTGAGCTGAAGAGGTACACCTAGGAACACATTCTGTTGGGGAGCTTTCGGGAGCGTACCCACAAGCACACCGACAATACCTATCTTTCGAAGTTTCCTAACATCATCGATACTAAAAATGAGCACCCTGTTGTGTATCAACGGGAGATGTATCATGGGAGGGAGAGTGAGTTTCTCACACAGGAATAATGAGGTGACCGAGCTGCTCCCTTGGGATCAACAGCGCTGCCGATCATGATCGATAGTTTAAAATAATTCGGGAAATTGCAATTGCATCGGTATTATCCCGATATCGGTTTTCTTTGGGCTTTTGAGTCGAATCCAACAAAATCTTGACAACGTGGTGTCATGCAAGTGATGCCAACAAGTGATTCTGAAAAGGGAAATTAGTAGTTGTGTGGTTCCTTTCGCATATCATTGCTGAGCCCTGCTGCCCACCATTGGGCAAGCTTGTGGTGGCTGCAAACGGTTTGCAAAGCCGATAGCTATTTCCGGAGGACCCTGAGGGGGACAATTCCGGAGCAACATACGGAAGTTAAAAAAAAAAAAAAAAAATTAGTCTTATTCCGTTCTTGGCAGCCCATTATCGAAATGTCCGCTTTGGGATCGGGGGCCCTATCGGTGAACCGATTATCCGCGTTACCAAAGCACATAAGCGACATTGACGTTTTTTTGACTTGCGCTTGGCTCACAAAAGCCAATGGTGGTTTCATATGAAAGGTTGGGCATAGGGCATGACAAAGAGTGCCAAGGAGAACTAGAGCATGCTTGCCTACCCCCACTTCTGCGTTTAATAGAGTTAAGGGGCCATGTCGAGGAATAGGTGTGCACGTTTGTCAAGGCAATGGTGGTTGGATGACTCTGGGGTGGGGGGAACATGCTCGATTCCCGCTCAACAGGCATCATAAGAATAGGAAGGAGAAAGCGTCGGTTTTCAACATAATGCCGACACGCTTGGGTTGGCTGCTCTCTACAATTAAAGCGTAGCACATAACAAGAACTAAAGGAAACCACCCACTAGGAGGTATTCTTGGCCGCCAGTGGAGGTTTTATGAAATATACTACATAGCTCACTCGATTAGGTTCAGCACCTTGATCCGGTCGGTCTCAGCAGCATCCTGGTCTTTATCCTCCGGGATTGGTGTGCTGTTGATGCTGCGTAGAAGGTTTTTGTAAGAAGGAATCCCAGAGGCCGAGCCGGGCGCTAGCGCAGTGCTATTGGACGCGGAGGAGGCTGCGTCGTTTGATGAGGCGGCATTGGCAGCATTGGAGGCGTTGGAAAGGTTGCTGAGAGGCTTACCTTGGTCCAGAAGCCCCAGCGCACTGCTGACGGAAAGCCGGTTTGGGTTTGAGTTGATGGGCATTATGGATGGCGAGTGAAGCAGGATCAGCAGCTGGTTGCGCTTCATCCACATGTCCCCAGCCCCATGGCCAGCCATTGGGTTTGGGAACAAATCCGGGGCAACCGACGAGCGTCTCAGTGGGTGAGTGCTCGAGGTGGCCAGCGGCAATGCAAAAGAATGTTTGTAGTCGTGGCTCAAGGAATTTTGGCGAGAAACGTAGGACACGGGCAGACTGTAGTGAGAGCTGTCGCCGTGGGAGCTGTTTGACACGCCTTGGGTGGGCAGGTTGGTAAGATTATTATTGAGCGGATGAGCCTGCTGAGGTGGATGTTGCAGGTACAGAGCAGGCAGCGTGCTGGGTGGTAAGGTCGTGGCGTTCAAAGAGTGACGGCGGTCTTCCTCGCCCACACGCTTGTTGAAGTTGGACAAAAGTGGCGGAAGTGTAGGGTGGTCAATGCTGGCCAGGCGTATTGGCGCCTTGGAAAGGTGCGGAAAGTGGCCATGGCCATGGCCCAGCGGAGGCACGCCGTTGAGCTGGGGCCGTTTGTCCAGTTCACTGAACATGGACGTATTGAACAGAATTTGGGAGAATTGAGGAACTTTTGGATACTGGGCCACTTGGTGGTGTTCTTGCAGCGCCACGGCGCCCATGGAGTTATGGCGGGAGCGCTGTGGAGAGACAGACTGGGTGAGATTGGGCCGTAAGTGGGCGTACTGGGGCATGGACTGGTGAGAAAACGAGCCCGAGTTCGACACCGGTGCCGAGACAGGGGCCGAGTTAGGAGCGGAGCCCACGGTGGAGGAGTAGCCTGAGTTAACGCCCGAGAGGGTTTGGGCGCTTGTAGTGGAGCCTGAGGATGGCGGTTGGTCGTTCAGCGCTGCCACATGGCTGACTCTGCGCCTGCGGTTAGCGCCTCCGTTCCACCAGTTCTTGATAGCGTTGTCACTGCGGCCTGTGAGGTGCCTGGCGATTTCGGCCCACTTCTTGCCGTGTTTGGCCACAAGCTGTTCAATGAGCATACCTTCCTCGGCTGTGATGGGATTACGATTGAGGGAGGGCTTCAAGTTCTGATGGTAACGTTCACGGCACTGTTTGGGCAGCCTGGAGCCTAGCAGGCTCAGAATACGAACCCAATTCGTCGGGCCCTGGACAGCGATTATGGACATGAGACGACGGTCCTCGTCGGGCAGCCAGGGACCTCGGCGGACGGTGGTAGGCGGGGCGTGAGCTGGTTTATAGGAGGCGGTGTCCTTTTCGGCAAAGTCGGGGGAGCCTTTCATCTCGACCATGAGGGATTTCATTAGGAAGAAGGATGTAGCTCACGGGGTGGACTTGGCCGGGGAGGACAGGGCTTTTGGGGGAGCCGGAAACTAGGGCCTTGACGGGACGGTAAGCGGCCGGGTTATGAGATAACAGAGGCCCGGAGAAAGAACGGTTGTTCTTGACGCAAGAGGGTGCTGCGGGCGGAAAGTAAAAAAAGTGGTAAGATTCGTGAAAGCCTGTTCACGGGCTTTTAAACTGTGCACCACCGAGAACAGAAAAAAGTATGCAATTAGGACACAATCTGTGATCAGAAAAAAAAAAAAAAAAAAAAAAAAAGAAGAAAAATTTTAAAAAAAAAAAAAAAAAAAAGGGAAAAATTCGTAAAAGCCTGTTCCCGGGCTTTTAAACTGTGCACCACCGAAAAAAAAAAAAAGTATGCAAATAGGAAAAAAACAGTGATAAAAAAAAAAAAAAAAAAAAAAAAAAAAAAGAAGCAGCACCAGCAGCACCAGTGATGCAGGCCACGGTTGTGGAACGGTCGGTCACTAAAAGTCTATAGATTAGACATGTTGCAGAGGGGAGATGGAGAGGTTCAGAACGAATGGCTTTTTTTTCATTTCTGGTGGATGGCGGAGAGGGTGGTGGGAACGCCGTCTGGATAAGAATGCCCCTAGAGCGTCATGCCCAAATAGTCAGTCCAAAATGAGAACAAGGCGGCGTTGGGCCTTGAAGTGGTAAGCGAGAGGCAGGGAGCACAGCGACCCGCGACACTCCCAAAGCGGCTGCCTTGTTTGGCCCGTTGGGCGTGGAAGGACAGCCAAGCTGGGCTGCTGTCAGGTCGTTTCAATTTGCAGTAATCAGAGCTCGGCTAATGTTGCTGAGACTCCCCTCCAGCGCATGAGGCTCTGGCACGGCGGCTAAACCCATGGAGATCTGTGTGCACAAGCAGACGACGAGAGGTGGGATTCTTGTGAGATTTTGATTTTCGACACCCATGAGATTTGTCACTGTGGCTGTCACAAGTGAAAACACAAGGAGCCGGTTCTGCCTGAAAAATGGGCGGATGGGCCCACGAGGTGGGTCCGGCCCCGTTTGGCGCCCTACGTTGAATTGAGCCCCGGATCGCCCGTGCCGCGCCCTGCCTGGCACCAGGCAGGCTAGTCTGGACGTTGCAGCCAACAAAAATGGGCCATATGCTGCCGCTCCAAAAAAAGACCCCGTTGATGACTCTGGCACACTGGAGCTCCCGCTAGCGGCTGACGAGGACAATGAAAGATCCTGACCCACGCCACAATGGCAATAGCTATTCGCTATTTTCTGGGGCGTTGTGGCGGGGGGACCCACCCTGGGGCCAAGACCCGCAGGAAGCAGCACCACAAGTGGCCGCCGGCCTGAGGACCCAACTTGCCGCGCCGTTTCAGCGAGCAATGCCCATGCAAGACCAGCACCTGAATGGGCTGCTTCGACCCGCACGAAACGAATAAAAAAAAAAATAATAATAAAAAAAGAAAGTGGTTCCTCGCTGGCGCCCGGATTAGCCTTCAACGGTGGGCACAATGACGCCGCTGGCAAATCAACAATCAGAGGGGTAGTCACGAGCGAGGGGGTAACGATCCATTGTGGCCTCCATTGGTTCTGCTGCTGCCGCCGCCGCCGCCGTTCCTGTAGCTGTGCTCGGGGCCTTCCTGGTAATTAACCTGTATCTCCGGAGCCCTTTATTTTCAGGTGGCACAAATCGTCTGGCCTGCCTCGGTGCTCAAGAGGATCGGCTCGTACCGCCTGAGGCCCGGGCTGGTGCGCTGCAGAACAATCATGACCATACATATCAGGGGTCCGCCTGCCCGGCTCGACTTGCTGCCGCCTGCCCGCGCGAGCCTTTCGATACTTTTAAGCCTGGGGCCCTGACTGCCTGCCAGGGCGCTCTGGCAGACTGCCCGAATCTGCGCTGGTCTGGTCGTTTTGGGGGCTCAAAGACGATTGTCCCTGCGCCTGCGCCCAACGGTCCACTTAGCTTCTTTTACGGTTTGCCCAAAAAATAGTAAAACAAAAAAAAAAAAAAAAGAAAAAGCCTTGTCAATTTCCTCGACATCGCTTGCGCTTTCTACATCTTCGCTTGTCCCAAAATCCAATTTTTTGTTATCCTATATCCTGTGGCCTCCTTGGCTACTCCCCATACTCTTCCAAATCCTCCTCCTCAAAAATCACCCGCACCATGAGCGAGCAGCTGGGACACACCGCGATGTCCTCCCCGTCCCGCAAGTCATCCAACAGAATGGCAAACTTGTCCCCGCACGGACACGGGTACTGAAATAGCCCCGTGTTGCCGTCGTACACAAAGTCCTCGATCTCTATTTCATCGTACACTGTCACGGTCTCCATAGGAAAGTGGTGGGTGGGAGCCAAGCGATGAGATGGATGAGCTTTTCACCTCTCGCGCGCGCAGTGCAGGCCTCATAGTTTGCAGCCATTCTTCTCCCTTCACATGGCCCCCACGCCCGAGTCCTCAATCTCTGCTTTAGGAATGTCCAAGCTACTCGTTTTTCTGCTTGGAATTACAATAACACCCACCTTGCCTTCTTTGGCCTGCTTCCCACAATACCTTCTGCACCCTTCGGTACGTTAGTTCATGCTGCCCAGACCGCCTCGGACTGATCGAGAAAGCCACTTTCCTGCTCTCTCACAATGCTCTTGCACCCTGGCGGGGCCTCATGTGGTCTGATCTCTGAGATAAAGGCATGAATGGCATATGCTTCGGAACCTGTTCCTTGTGCGACCTCCAACGGGCTCGGAGGCTTTCCCGAAGCGGCAGGCCCACACGGTTTCGAGCGTCTCTGGGCTCAATTGTCTTTGATATTCCGCTTTGGGTTATCAGGCTACCTGCCCATCAAGGGGTTTCAATGCTTCTTGTACCTTGTGGTCACGCGTTGTTATGCTAAGTCCATTCTCGTAGTTTAGAACTTTTCACATTTCATGGCTTTTAAACCGTTTAAGCCTCGCTCTTACGAACAAAGAACATCTTTCACCTGCTTTAGCCTGTGCTTTTGGTTGCGCCTGTGCTTCGGTCTGTGCCTGTGAGATCCACTAGGGCTCGAGCCCTAAACGCTCACCAACTCACGTGCAAACGTTGGAACACCGGACTCTCCGCGCAACAGCGACTACTCCCTCGATAAACGGTGTCGACAAGGCCTCACAGTTTTTCGATCACGTGATCTCTAAATCTCCCACACACCCTTACCTCCTCACTGTAAAATTCTCAAGCCTGCACCACCGCTCCCAGCGAAAATTTTTTCTATAGTGCTACTTGAGATTCTTCTTTTTTTCTACTAGACAGTAACCAAGAAGTATGTTGAATTCAACACCGACACCGTCAACGAACCCGAAGCAGACCAAAGAATCCATTAAAGTTATCCATTACAACCGTCCAATCCGTCTTCCCTGTTGATTTAATCCCTTGATCATCAGCATTTCATCTCAATTCTTTGTCTTCGGGATCACCATCCACAAAGCATTATACTAACAAACAGTTCACCATGGGTATTTCTAGAGACTCTCGTCACAAGCGTGCTGCTACTGGTGCTAAAAGAGCTCAGTTCAGAAAGAAGAGAAAGTTCGAGTTGGGTAGACAGCCCGCTAACACCAAGATCGGTGCTAAGAGAATTCACACTGTCAGAACCAGAGGTGGCAACCAGAAGTTCAGAGCTTTGAGAGTTGAGACCGGTAACTTCTCTTGGGCCTCCGAGGGTGTCGCCAGAAAGACCAGAATTGCCTCTGTCGTCTACCACCCATCTAACAACGAGTTGGTCAGAACCAACACCTTGACCAAGTCTGCTATCGTCCAGATCGATGCCACTCCATTCAGACAATGGTTCGAGACCCACTACGGTAAGTCTTTGGGTAAGAAGCAGGCCGAGGAGGAGGTCAAGAGATCTCACAAGGTTGAGAGAAAGTTGGCTTCCAGAGCCGCTTCTGCCAACATTGAGTCCGCTGTCGACCACCAGTTCACTGCTGGTAAGTTGTACGCTTGCATCTCTTCAAGACCAGGTCAGTCCGGTAGATGTGATGGTTACATCTTGGAGGGTGAGGAGTTGGCCTTCTACTTGAGAAGATTGACCGCTAAGAAATAAGCTTCTCTCTTCAATAGTCACCCAAAATAATATATTTCGTGTACACTAGTCCCACGTAGAGACCTCCCGAGGCAAGGCATAGAGAAGAGTGGTCTTCTTAGTGCTTGCTGAGAATCCAACATTCTATGATATGAGTTTACGAGAATGTCCTGTCAATATGAGACCCATTCTTACTCCATAGTATACGAAATAGTGAACAAGAGATTGAAAGAAACCTACTGAATCGACAAATGATTAAACGGTACTAGAATGTTAGTTGTTGAACTTAAATTCAGACATCAGCTTATTAGGCAATAATTGTTTATCTGCATGAGGACCGAGGCCCTGTTCAGATCAGGTCTGTGTAATTTTTTTTCATCCTTGTGTCAAGGTAAGAACATACGCTTTGAACTTTTCATAAAGAAAGAGATGTAGTTGAGATTAGAGGGTAGTTTTTTTCAAAGATGAACTTGTAGGTGAGTGCGGGTAACTACCTCTGTGCAATCGCGCGCATATTCATTTTGCAGCCTATTTACCTAAGAGAAAGTGGCCAATGCACCCATTGGATCCCATGGAGGCAAAACGACGGGATCAGCAGCCTCGTCGTAGATTTTTTGATGTTTGTCCAGCAACTCAGACTTGTCTACCACAATCTGGTAAACGTACTCCTTGAAGTACTTGTGGTCCATGCAATAGTAACCGTCCTGGCCCGAGTCCTTACCCCAGGAGTTCTCAACCTTCCATCTGATAGGGTTACCCTGCTCGTCCAAGTGTACAGCAGTCAAGACCATGGCGTGGGTCATAAGAGACTGTCTGTACTCAATTCTGCTGGACTTGTCTTGATCGGCATGGAAGTCGATAAGCTTGTAGTTATAAAGCTCCTCGTCCATGATACCTCTCTTCTTGTCCATGTAGATTGGGGTGTGGGTACCGAAGAAGATTGCCTGGTTGTTCTTAAGACGCTCGACGGCGTACTTGGCCAACTCATCGATGTCAATGTTCAAGTAAGAAACCTCTTTACCGCCAACAACGTTACCCAACTTGTCAATGTTGATGACCTTGTCGTATGGGTTACGAGGGTCATTCAACAAAGAAACATAGTTTTTCAAGCTGATGCCCAAATCCTTGTAGAACAGCAATGGCGTGAAGGTCAACTTCTTGACATTGTCATCCTTGTCCTTGAAATCCCACACCAATTCCTGATCTGGGAGTGGTGGCTGACCCAAGAAGATAACCATGAGTCTGTAGATCTCTTTTTGCTGCTGTTCCTTCAACTTAGCGATCGAGTCAGGAGCCTCCTTCTTGGCCTTTCTCAAATGCTGAGCGAACTCTCTCAACTTCGTCTTAAGCAAGAAATTCAAAGTTCTCGAGGCAGTGGCCGAGTAAGCATCAGGGTACAATTCGTGAGGAATCATACCGTATTTCTCAGCCACGTTGATGAACATATCGAACTGACCACCATCACATGTGGGGTCGTCCAACAAGTGCTGGATGAGACGGGAGTTGATGTCCAACTCAGCGGTAGAGTCAATTGATTCAGAAAACTTCTCCAAAAAGAAGTTACACTTCTCAAGCTTGTCAAAGAAGAACCAGTACAGCTGGGAGAATTGGAATTCCTTGACATTGTGCTTCTCCATGAAAGGAAGTCTCAACACATTACCACTTGCAAATAGCCAGCATCTTCCACTAGCCTTCTGGTTGGTGACAGGAGCACCCTGAACTTTGACGCCAGTGTTGAAAACCTTGTTGGAGTTTTTGATGAACACCTCACGGTTGATCAAGGCCTCCTCGGCGTTGTAAGTTCTCAACACCGAAGCACCCAACTGGGTGTTCAAGTCCAGGTTGAGAGCGTCGTTCCAAGACGCCAATGAAGAAACGTTGTATTTGGTAAAATCAGACATGTTGTTGAGTTAGTTAAACTTTGGGGTTGTCGTCTTATTTATAGTGGAATGAGCCGTGGAGGTGAATGGCTCCTTGGTGCGGCTGGGCATAACATCTCCGGTGCCCGTTAGTCGCACTACGCATATTCCGTTGAAGTTATTCGCTTAGCTGGTCACTAGCTGTGCTTTAGATAATCTTTGTTCGATATCAGGTCAATTGCCACTTAATCACCATGTTCAAAGATAAAGAGATATTCAATTTAGCTATTGCCTACAGATGTTTCAGATCAACATGGCTACCCTAGAGGTTCTGGCACTTCCTGCAAGGTCCGAGCGCATATTTGACACCTAACTGAACGTCTCCAATGCAAGAACGCTTACGTTATTCGTCCGATTTTTCATGTCTTGTTGATAAAGTGGAAATATATTTCCGTTCGGTTTTGTGTCTGGCGATACTGTGATTGCAATTCTCGAAGACCCCCATTGAGTTGAGTAGCCTGCTGTCATTATCGACCAATAAGGCCTAAGTCACTTGAACAAATACAAAATTTTTGCTTCCCGTCATCTAATTCGGATTTTTCGGCTGATTTGCATTCTGTACAGCAACAAGAATGGAGCTTCATCGAAGGATCACTAGGCTTTTTAGAAAAAAGAACTCTTTGCGGCCATCAGAATGGGTGAAATTGCCGAATGCAGTCTCTTTTGGTATGCGGAGAGCTGGTAGAACCATAAGCTAAAGAATTGGGCAATTTTATGGTGTGTGGACAAGTTTTTGGATAATTTGGAACCTTCATATGTGGCTTATATGCAGGTTTTTATTGTGTTTCTTATATAGCCCACAGTTCCAATTGTTTCAAGTCGGTCCCTTGGCCCAGTTGGTTAAGGCGTGGTGCTAATAACGCCAAGATCAGCAGTTCGATCCTGCTAGGGACCACTTCTTCCAGGGCGTGTGGCGTAGTTGGTAGCGCGTTCGCTTAGCATGCGAAAGGTCTCCGGTTCGAATCCGGACTCGTCCATAATTTTTTTTTTTGTCAAACCTTTGAATGCTTTATTTTTATAATTCACTTTACCTAGGTCGAATTGCGAGTGAAACTCGGACATTGCATCGTTATTGTACTTATAATGAATATATAGTGTAGAATTGAAGAGATCAGAAGATCACATTGAGGAATTTCTCCCATGCGTTTTTTGGATTAGGCTGTGGAGTGTTTCTCTGTTCCTCTTCAACGAGCTCCAACTTGCTGAAGTCGAAACTCTCCAAAGGATTAAGCCATCTCTTACGGCCAACCCAGAAGTATGAATATGTTCTGTGGCCAACGTAAAGTCCAAGGACGATTGGGAATGTGATGTAGGCGGCAAGGAAGTCACCGATCTTGAAGTCGAAGAACACAGCGTAACCGTTGGTGAGAGTAATCAAACCAACCATGAACATAATGTAGTAGGCACCGAAAGGCTGGAATAATGTTCTGTAGGGAACCCTGTCCTCGAGACCCTGTACCACCACAGCCTTTCTCCACCTAGAATAAGCAAAGGCAACAAAGATCCAAGAAATGAAACCGGAAATAGTGGTGATGTTGGAGAACCAGGTGAAAACCTGAGCAGAAGAACTCGAAACGTTCAAGTATGACAAACAACCAACACACCAGGTGATCAACACACAGTATACTGGAATACCCCATCTGTTAACAAAGGTGAAACATTTTGGAGCCAATCCTCTCAATGCAAGAGAGTACAAAGTTCTCGAACCAGCGTAGAAGAAGGAGTTACCAGCAGAAGCGGCCGAAATCAAAACGACAGCGTTAATGATATGGTTCAAGACAGGGATACCGGCATTTTGAATACCAAGCACGAATGGGGAGGCCGAAGCATCACCAGTATCACTACTCAAACGCTCACTTCTGGAGTCGGCGATGATTCCGATGACCAAGGAACCCAAGATGTAGAAGAATGCCAAACGGTAAATAAACTGGTTGGCACACTTGGGCAAAATACGACGAGGGTTGGAAACCTCACCAGAACAAGCAACGATCAACTCAGGACTCATAATGAAAGAGTAACCGGCTTTAATCACCGCGGTCCAGAAACCCAAGAAACGACCAGTGTCGCCGCCGGTCAAGTGCTCGTGGAAAGCATTACCATGTTTCCAATAACGGAAACCAAGTCTGTCGCCCTTTGGACCACCGCCAAAGAACAAGACAACACCCAAAATAATAAGACCGGTAATTGCAAGTAATTTGATCGCAGCGAGCACGAACTCAACTTCACCGTAAAATTGAACCGGCATTAAGTTCAAAATTAACATGGCACCAAGCAAAATGGAAAGCCAGACGGCAATGTGTACATCTGTGGTCCAATACTGAATGACAATGGCGGCAGCGACGACTTCAGCGGCGACCAAAATGGCAAAACCATACCAGTAGTTGTAGCCAAGAGCGAAACCGATGGAAGGGTCGGTGTAGTCATTAATAAATTGCTGGGAACCAGCACCTGGAACGGGCAAGAAAGCAGCCATTTCTGCCAACATGTTCATGACAAACCACACAATGGTGGACAAGACGATATAAGAAAGCCAGAGGGCGGCGGGGCCGACCTGATACAAGACAAGACCAGAGCCAACGAAAAGACCGGTACCGATGGCACCACCCAAAGCGATCAACTGGACATGTCTATTCCTTAAACCCTTTTTTAATTCGTTTTCCTCCACGGAGATAATGGAGTTGTTCTCAGAGACAATGTTACCCTTTTCGTCGACATTGACGATTCTGGAGTTTGAGATGGAAGGTCCGAGGTAGGCCGAATTGGATCTCAAGATGGACGGCCTCGAGGTCATGGCCTTGAGGTCAAATACGTGTGAGTCTTTACCCATGGCGAAGATTGGGACAGAATGGAGGGGAGAAAAGTACAAAGAAAAAAAGAATGTGGGGCCGGCGCCAATATATAGGCGATGCAGAATCTGCTTATCTGGAGGGTCTGAGACGCAGAAAGAAATCGCAGGCTGACGTGCAATGCACGGCGAGCCCATTCAGGACGATGATGTAAAATAAGTGGGGCCTGCTGCCCCCAGGCACAATGGCCTGAAACAGGGTGTGGCGGCGAGTTTAATTCAAACGCTAATCACGGCTCGGGTTATGAGACCTACGTGTTGGTGCAACTACAAGTGTGACTGTTTCTCGGCGCCCTCGCTTGACAGTACCAAGAGTTTTTTGTGCCCCGCCAACAAAGATGACGTGAGGGGCACGATCTCAGGAGCTAGTTTTTTTTTCCTTGGATCTAGCAAGCCAGACGGGCTAAAATAAATGAGATCAAAATTTTACCCGAAATTCTGGTTGAGTTTCCGTGGTCTACGGTACGGCGATCGGAGACGGCGTTTTGCAAGTCCTGGCGAGATATCTGACGCAGTGCGCTCGCGCAAGTTTGCCCTGTTCTTTTTTTTTTTTTTTTGTGCTCAGAATCTGGGGTACCCGCCGCCATCGCCTTCCTCCCGCGCCCTAACTGGCGCCTATTTTTTGCGGACATATACGCCCACAAAAATGGCACTTTTTTCTCTGCCCCACACGGCCCCACCCTTCCCAGCCGACCCTAGCCGTTACGGTCGGCGTCGGTCAGCAGGAGGATCATGAAGGGTTCGGACCGGACACAAAGAATACGATACTCTTGGCAAGTCACGTCGCAAACGTCTGTGCATTAGTCAACCCACGACGCTTCAGATTGGTCCGATTTTTTTTTTTATCAGCACTACGCTTATCTTGTTATCAGAGGCTTCGTCTCGTAGCTATCGATATCGCTTACGCCTCGCCATGGCTTTCTGTGCGGGCATCGCAGCAACAAATTTTCTTTTTTTTTCTCAGAGATAGCCTGCGCTGCGTATCAGCCAACGGTTTGCCTAGATGACGACTCCACTTGTCGCTTATTACGAACACGGAACGCACTCGTAAAGCACGTAAATGTAAGATAGACTTTTAATGCCTGGAAAGTCCGGAAAAGGTTGGTTGAGCCGGATAACCCTAAAGTGGCATCGGAGCGGGGCGTAAGCGAACCGGACCCCTGTATCTGAATGCCGTTTTCTCCAGCTGGAAAAGTCCGTTGGAACGCGAGGTGGGCAGCTTCGCCGAATCCGCCCAGAAACAAGAACTCACTGCGCCCCAAAAGGTATTTTGCTCTGGAGACCCACAGTTTCCGTTTTGGTGTAATTATACGCTGGCTAGTTTTGTGGAGGTAGGTGGTTGAGTGCCATCCTGTAGCTAGTCTGTGTGGGCCACTTTTGTACCTTATTTGTTTCGGAGGCAACGTTATGAACCTTGTAAGTGTGGATACTTGAATGGACCCTTGTGGCACACTTTAAGCCCCGAATTGCCTTTGTTCCCTATTCGTTATAGTATCGAGTCATGGCGTCTTCATGGATCCTTCACTGCATGGGTTCTCACTTTTGCACCCATGAGCAGAAAACAAAGATACAAGTAGACGAACGCTCAACCAATCCAATGGCCTAACCAATTTTCATTCTCCTTATCCACAATCCTTCAACGGTGATCAAACCTCTCATGGTCTCCAAAATGTATGGTGGACCTGCACATACTGCTCCTCGTCTCATCTCTCATCGCATACTGAAAATTATACCAGACAAGGTCGACCACCGATAACCCATTATGTCATTGTTGTCCCAGCAGTTGAAGACCATCGGTGAGAAGAATGCCTCCTTGGCAGTCGACAGAAAATCCAGGCAACAGATCCACTCGAGATCTTTGCTATTCGATGCAAAAACTGCAGCCGCCCAAGACTTTGACTATATCTACCTGATAGCAACAGAGGGCCTCGACGAGCTCATAGAACTTGATCTGAGATTTGAGAAGTTTTCGGCGACCCTCTTTTCTGAAACCAGCATTGATTTCGACAGAAATGTCAAGTCGAAGGATATCCTCGATCAGGTCAACAGAAACTTGGAAGCTTTCATGAACTTGGCTGCCCCCTACTACAACCTTGCACCCACTCTCAAAGCCATGGAGTGGTTGGTCAGAAGATAT